CATCAGCTATCAGTGGGGAGGAGAAAAAAAGGTTAGCCAAGAGGAGAAGTCTCTCAGGCGGGATTGGTGGAAGTTGGAAGGAATCTTGTTACCATTCGACTAGCAGGGAAAACTAGCGGACTAGGCCATGGGGCCATGCAGCTACGTCAGGAACTACAGAGTTAGAGCTGAGAACCTTCCCAGGCCAGGCATGATCACCCAAGCAGGTCTGCAGTGTGGGTTCAGGTTAAGGTTAAACATCCAGTTACCATACAAGGTCACAAACAGGGGTAAAGAGGAAAGAGGGAGAAAGGAGGCAGAGGTTAGGGGTTTTCTCGTCCCTGAAAGTGGAGGTTTAGGGGTTCCTGGACACTGTGACTGGGAGAAGGGAAGGGAGAATTTGCTGGTCCTCAGAGAAAGTGATCCTGGTGGGGCTCGAGTCTGCTTGTTAAAAGGGAATTGGCAGCCAGGGATCCCTCCTGGAAACCGGAGCTGAGTGACAGACTCCTGGAAGGTGGCACTGTCTCAGTGCGGGTGCCGGGAACCTTCTGCACCAGGCGATCCCCCGTAACTGTATTCCAGATTATCGGGATCCCTGCGGGGAACATGCCGAGAGAAACGAAAGGTGAAGGAAACGGAGCGAGGAACGACACGTCTCCCTAGCACTGTGTGATGCTCAGGGTGTCACTAAAGGGATTCCGGTTCTGGAGGCTGCGCGGCTCTGCACCTCCATCCGGGGAGACTTTGGAGTTGGGCCCCATTTTTTGCTTTAAAGCACGGAGGGTGGCAAAAGACATCAGCTAGATGTGCTTTCTATTCTTGGGGTTTAACTGTGAATTTGTGTCAAAAAAGGGAAATAATTTTAAAGCTCAGATTAATTTGCCGTCTTGAAAAAGGATCTTTTCTCACCGTCCAAAACTGCGGGTGAAGCTGGGTCAGACCTAACAGCACGCTACAGGCACGGAGGAGGCATCTTACATGGCAGACGTGGTACCCTTAGGACATCCGCCCAAACACACGAGGCCCAGCGCTGCCCTGCCTTTCTTCCCCTCCAAAGACAATGCTTAAAACAGCAAGTCAGATCAGGCCGTGAACACCCATCCTGGGACTGAATGTTCCTGTAACTGATTAAACAAATCCCTCTCCAACGCCACAGGAAATGAGATATATGCTTCTTTTTTAAATTCCGCGAATCCTGTCAGGGGACTGTGGCTAAATCTCGCAAGTGGGAAAAAAATGTAAGTTGAACCAATGCACACTGCATAAACCTTGTAAATTTCCGAAATGGTTTTTCTAATGCAGAGGGTGGTCTTTATCAAGTCTTTAATTCGCACTTTCTGAATTCCTACATGACAGAGAGTGCCCCTGCAAGGCCATGTCCTGTAACTGCCAATTTAATTATTTGGGTCAAAACATAATCTAAGATTTTTAATTATCCTTTTAAAGTAAGTGCAAAGATCTTAATTAAATATCCAGAATGCATCATGACAAAAACACTAAGTTGATAAAAAGGTCACTTTTGAACTGGGGGTTAAAATATGCCAGAAGAGACATGGCCACAATTAGAAGCTGTTCAGTTTGTCAGAGTTTGTTTCTTCAACTGATGTTGGAATTCTAATCCAATGAAACTTTTGCTTCAAAGATAATTCATCTTATTCATCACCTACTCCTGTGAAATAAGTGTTGCAGGATTTACATCATAAATCACAGGGTAAAAGCATAGATCCATGCCTCTGCTCTACTGTTTACAAGGTGCTCTTAATTTAAAATGTGGTGCTTTATTGTATTGCAGAACACCACCTCCCTGCCACAGTATCTCACTCTGGATGCTTCACAATGTTATCAAACCATAAACACATCTGTGTAGCAGCTCCCATTCTCCATAACTGGCAGGTAACCAGTCAAATTTCTGAGGCTGGATTGCTGAATACACTGGCTCTTGTTCAAAAGTGATGTCATCTAAATACAATGGCGCATAATTGGAAAAACCTGGAAAAGGCGGTGTGCTCCCCCCCCCCTTTAACACAAAGGAGGATATTGCCCGATAGGCTTTCTAGGACAAATCGATCCATTTTCTGCCGGACGGGACAGGCCCTGACTGATGTTATGTTTTTGTACTCCGCTCCCCAGGCTCGGTGAGCTAAGCCTTGTTTTCATTCAAAGGCTGTCTGAAGGGGACCTGCCCAGTCAGAGGGCTTTTCTGTAGCTCAAGTCAGGAAGTCAGTAATCAAGTTGAACAGGAACTTCTGGGATCAGCAGTGTGCCATCAGCTGACGCAGCCTTCCTGCCAAACCACACACCAGAAATCACAGCTCCCCGCACAAAGCACACTGCGGCCCTGCCCCCTTCACATTCCAGCCTGTGCCCATCGAGCAGCAATTGTTTTATTTGTTTTTATTTGTACAATCCCGGGGTTTCAAACCCACGATGATGAAGAGAAGCGTTGGCAATATTATTAGAAAAGTAGCATCAAGCTCAGACAACGTGCCAAAATGAATGCAAGTGCCCTTAACGCTCCGATTCTGGGCTGTGTGACAAATCAACTTTGCCACCCGGTAAAGATCCCATTACCACAGTCTGGTGTCTAACTGTCCTTTCAGGCTTGTGTCCCACTCCAGTCATTTAAATCCCCTTAGAGTTGTTACACCATCAATTACACTGCAGCTTTTACAACACTCGTGCCAGTTCCACTGTCATTATTGAAATAATATGATGTATGATTAAAAAACATATTTTTAAAATGTAATCTTGTGATGCTGCCAGAAGCGAAACGATGAGGTTTTCAGGCACCTACTTCCTTTGCCTTTCATTGCGCGCTACGTGATGTTACAGCGACACCTCGTGGACAGTTTACAAAGGGTGGAGCAGACATTTGAAATACCTCAATATTTCCAAGTCCCGGTCAGGGATTACTCCTGTATCTTGAGGTCTTCAAAATTTTCATTTAATTGAACCAAATGATTTATTTTTGTTTTCTGCATTCAGCACCTAGTCTCACAAATAATCTCTATATCTATGTTTGTAATTTCAGAGAGAGTGAACACAGCCCTGTTTAAACTAACAATTCTTGTTCCCCTCTAGATTGCCCAACAGCTCTTACTGTTAATTAATTATATTGAGAGACAGGTGGGAACACCACCAAACACTCCATAATAAGCATTAGTAGTGCACTATAGGCCCACTGGGTAAATGTAACTAAATCACTGAAACAATAAACCTAAGTAAAAGGAGAGCTACAGTAAAAGCCTGCATCAGGCTCGAGCTTCATGTTAATTTCTAACCTTGTTCTATTATTTTGGAAATGAAACATTTTTTTAAAATACAAGCAGTGGTATAGTATAGGCAGTACAAGACAATTTAAGAGCTTGATGAACTGAAGATCAGTCGGAATGAAAACCTGACACGACTGTACTGGACAAGGACAGGGAAATGCCCACATTTACAAATGCTTACTGATTAAAAAGTGACCTAACTTTTGCTAAAATAATATATTTTGTCAAAATCCTATTTAATGAATACTTTTAATTTAGAGTTTCCTTCAGTGGATTCCAAGGAAGAAAAAACCCAACTTATTTGAATTTTTTAGAGGAATATAAAGAAACAAAAACCTTTGGTATTTTTTAATGTCTTTAACACTTTCTGTAACTGTTAACAAACCAGAAAACTGCATTTTTTAAATGTGGTAAGTGACAATGAGCTTCTCCCGCAATGACAGTGACATCGAAGAAGTAAAGCACTTTAACGACAAGTAGTTCCACAACACCTTTTTATTACCAAACTTACCTACATCCAAGCTCTGCCAGTTCCTCAGTACAATAAGCACAAAAACTTAACTCTCTACTACAACAACCAGAGACAGCACCTACTACCCCCACCAACACAGCATGAGAGATCCCTGCTCAGGGGAGGCCTTCACCAGCTTTTATCACAGGACTCACACATTTCTCTAATGATACCCCCTCAACAGCAGCTGACAACAGTAGTAACTGGCCATTTACAAAATAATTCCCCCAAAAACCTATTGGACTCCCCTCTTCGGCAGATTACTTCATCAATCAGTGCAACAACCAAGTTGCCAAACTCTTTTCCACATCCAGGAAACTCAGATCCAACCTCACTCAAAGAGGACTCCAGGCTCTCCAGTCACTCCACAAAAGATGTTATTCTCATCAAAGTGCAGACACAGATGGTGGTGTTGTAGCATGCCAAAGGGACCTATACATCGCTGAAGCCTATAGACCACTAACACGTCTGCATAATGCCCTCTCCCGCAAGATCCTACCACTGACTACTTAAAGGAAACCATTCTTCTCATCAGCAATGAAGAATTACCCTGGGAGAATAATCTTCTCATTGCTGAACATCCTCAGTCATCCCAATTCTACCACTTTCCAAATAACCACAACCTGACACCCCCGGATGCCCAACTGCTCCACCACACACAGCTCAGCTTTTCCCGACAGCCTTATGAGATCACTAGCGGAAGGGACTGATCACAGGATCAGCTGAACCGGTCCTCACACTGAACACATTTTCTTCCAATAACCTTTCCCACCAGCAGGGCATTGGAGTACCAGGATGGGACAAAGCTACCATATGCCAACATCTTTGTCAGCTGGACAGAAGAATACTCCTTCACCTCCAATACCAGCTTTGTCTTTGACCTCTAAAAGGGACTATATTAATGAGCTACAGCAATTCCCACATCATTTCACCAACAAAAAGACAAGTGAGAAGCATAGGTTTTCTAGAAAAGTGGTGAAGAAGAGTCTGAAAACATTTGCATGGTGTTGTATGTACACACATAACATAGTAATCAAAAGGGCTAGAAATAAATTAAATAAAATATAGAAGCAACATCCCTCTCTACTCCTCCGATGACTGCAAAGGTGTTATACTACACTATGGGTGTTTATACTAAATGGTTGTCATTTGTATCCTTCCTGAACATACTCACTTTACCTTCCTAAGCCAAACCACTCGAATTATATATTTTTTCTGAAGCAAACTAGCAGACGCACCTGGATCCAAATGAGAGAACGTCCCCACAACGAAGTCCAGCGTGGAGACAGCCAGCACAGCCAGTAACAGGAGCTGGAGACGGATGATCCACTTGACCCCAGCGAGGTTAATTCCCAGCAGGCCCAGGAGTACCGCGAAGGAGATCCCCCGCACGGCCCAGACACTGTTGAAGCTCAGCACGTCGGCGATGGACTCCGCGAAGCCGGTGATGTACATGGCACCTGCAACACACTGGGGCACGGCACGGGTCAGCCACCCAGGAGGAGGCAATTATTCTTCCTCAGAAGAAGACTCTCCGCTCGTCAAGTGTGTGACAAGGGCCTCGTAAGCCTTTTGGAAAAAGCGAGGCGGAACCTTGTTTTCATGAGTCTGCTCTTCTCAGAAGAAAAAGCGTTGTTTTGTAATGAATTTGAAAAATGAAACAAATGGCATCTCACATTTCAATTCAAACTAGGGTTAAAATTAGTATTACATTTTGTTCCAGTTTAGGCTATGATTAAGCTCCAACCATGAGTTAACGATAATCATCAGTTTTAGTGATAAATCTTATAAATGTAGGTCTGAACCACAAGGTTACCGAGATTATGGTTATGGTTGGAGAGTGTGCAGTACTTTATCCTGCGAGAGCACTGTTTGTTCTATTGGATCGACATTTTGTTTCTACTATATGCTTAGATTTGGTAATAAATGACATAAGGCGTTACAATCTATGTAATTAATTTTGGCTTAACTGTGCTGTAAAAGCTAACTTTCTGCACCTCCTTCAATCCATCATCACAGAGCGGGTTATTCCTGCTATGAGACACAGTAACCTGAGGCCTATCCAGAAGCACAGGGAACAACGTGGGATCACAGTCTGGACTAAACGCCAGACCATCGCAAGGTACACTCATATACAGGGACAATTCCTAGACTACCAAAAGACATGTCTGGGTAGCCATGGCAACCAATATTCCTGCTGCTCCACAAGTCAATCAATCCATTACCATGACAACACGAAGTGGCAGAATATCACTTCCACCTGACCTCTATTCAAGGGGAACCGCTGTCCCAGTTTCTCAGACTGGTTGTTAAATCTTGGTAACAAAATAAATTCATTGACATTCTGAATTAAACGCAAAATCGTGAACTTTGTGAAAGCACTGTACAGTAAGTTGCCACGTTGTCATAAACAGCGACGTGATGCGGTGCCTTCCTGCTTACGGATCACTGTAACGTCTAATGTGACGTATGAGCGAACGTGTGAGGTTGCGCAGATCTGCATGCAGAGTTAACAGTACGTAGTAATTGTCAGCCAAACCATTTCAAAGTCAAGAGCAAGATATCTATTGGATTAAAAGAGATTCACAAGCCGTGAATTCACAAGTGATAGGGCTACATCACCAGAGGTTTTGTCGAGATTTTACAAATTACGGTGTACTGTACATTTTACTTCTATTGTGGTTTGATGTTCATAAGAGCAGCCCTTATTACAGATACCAATTAAGCAAGCCAGCATGTTTTTGGAAGATGAGAAGGTACTGGAGCACCTGGAGAAGTCCCTGTGTCTGTGGTCTGACATGCAAAACCCACACAGAATGGGTCCCAGTCAAGAATCAGACCCAAGGAGCAGGTGCTCTGATGCAGCAGCACTACACACTGTAATAAACCTCTATGCTGTGGAAAACCGGTGGTCTATCTGAACGTGAAGAGATGCCCTAGTGTGCAATTTGGGAAAATGTGAAAAGCATACTCCTTTGAACCCTTGGTAGTTGGTAAACTATGTCTGTATTGGTGCAACTGAGCAATTCTAATTAATAAACATGCATTCCCTTATTACATTTTGTCAGCATAACCATTAGAACTGGTTTATAAGAGAACCAAAGCAGGTCATAAATGGTTCTCTATTAAACTTTAAAGCTTTGTGAAAGTTTATGATTAACTTTATGTCCTGTGGCAGTCTACATAAATCAACTGGAAGGTTTTTATTCCTACTTTTCTAAAAGTAATTCAAATTTCAAAGTGGACAATCATGCTAGACTGAATAAAAGAATATTATTAAAATATACTGTACACATATTAGAGGTATTATGAAGATGATACTGATATCTCAGGAATGAACCTCTCATTTAGAAAACTCTTGGATTGATCATTTTTAGCTCCGATATTCTGATTGAAGACTATGTGGGCTACATTATAAAACCCACCACTGGCGCACATTCATTTAGACAGAGAGAGGACGTGAAATGTAGCCTGATATATAATACTCCATAATCAAGTTTCATGTTTTGTTTTTCACTCACCGGGCTTTTGCTCCTTAAATATGACTGCTACCAAACTTTATCAGAAGCTTCCCGGCCATGTTGTTGAAGCCAATACCCTGGCTTCTTTCAAGAAACAGCTGGATGGAACTCTGGATCAATTAGCGATGAACTACTGTACCAATTGGACTAGATAGACTGAATGGCCTCCGCATGTCTGTAACATTTCCTGTGCTCTTGTGAAAATAACACTGTTTTTTCAAGGGGAAGGGGGGTAAATGTACAACGCAGAAGTTAAAATGATCGCTGACATCTCCTTGAGGGATAAGCAGAACCTTCACAGAAGACATACTGTATGTCAGACGTAAATAGACCAAAGACTCAAATAAGAACAAAAGGCTAAAAGGCTAAAAATGGAAAGAGATGTGGAAGTCAGAAGGGTGAAATTTCTTCCTACTTTATTGAACGGCATAAGGCATCTCTTTGTTAGTTAGCCACCAAGAGGAAATATTAATTTTGCTGACTGTTCAGAAATTTTGAATTTGATTTAACATTAATTTGACACCAAAGCCCAGTGTGTTCAATACAAGCTGTGGGTACCTGGCCAAAGACATAAAGGAGCCCAACTGTTCCGCCCACTCTGCCTCCGAGGACTGTAGAAATCATGGAGTAAACGCCACCACTGCCAACGCTGCACCGCTCACACACGCCTATCCCCGACGTCACCGTAACCAGGGCAACCACGACCACCAGGGACACCAGCAGCATGCCAAGGAAAACACCCGTGTTTCCCTGGAAACGATTGAAGAAAAAAAAAAAAGAGTTTGCAAAGTGCAAGGAAGAACATTGTTTTGTTTTTTTAAAAACGTTATCGCAAAGATCGGGGGTGGTGGTTCCTAATCAAACCTTACCCCCCACAAACTTTAAAGCACTTTTTTTCCCACCGCTTATCATCACAACAGCTAACGGCAAATAATATATTTCAGCTGTTACAATGTTGACGTATCGACCGCTTTTCATTTTCTCACCTTTCGTTCAGCCCTTACAAAGGCTCTCTGCATTTATCCACCACCCTCCCCCCCACCATGGTCTCTAAATATCATTTCACCTTCACCAAACCAGTAAACACTGCCCACTGCCCAACACTACCATGAACCATCTCCTTGGCCCAGATTCTACTCTCAGCTTCTGACTTCAAGCAAATGGATCTGTACGTAAGAGGTCAACCGAATTTGTGCTATAATCATATGTATATACAATATGTAGTACACAATGAAAAAAAACACATGTGCAGCAGGCTTTCATATACGCCAACTCACAACTGGCAGCCCACAGAAGCTAAGCAGATGTGGTCAGTACCTGGATGTGAGACCTCCTGGGGAAAAACTAAGGTTGCTGCTTGAAGAGGTGATAGTGGGGCCAGCTCACCCTGCGGTCTGTGTGGGTCCTACTCCCCCAGTGTTGTGTTTCTCGAAAAGAGAAGGGGTGCATCCTGGACAAATCATGGCCTCCTTATAATCCCCATTTATAAATTGGCTTCATCACTCTGCACTCCTCCCCACTGAGAGCTGGTGTGTGTGGAGCGTTCTGGCACTCACCAGGTGGATGCTGCACATTGGTGCTGGTGGAGGGGATCCCCATTACCTGTAAAGCGCTTTGAGTGGAGTGTCCAGAAAAGCTCTATATAAGTGTAAGCAATTATTTTTATTACTTCTGGAACATCTGGGGGAGGAATACAGCACTGGTATAGGAACTTAATTCTTGTACTGTAGCACATAAGCTGTTGCTTACGTTTTCTCCCTGCCCAGTAATGAAGTCCACCTGCCCACAGTGGGCCCCTGACCCCCCAGAGACATGCGAGTCTGCACTCTCCTGGACAGCAGGTGCGCTTCACTGATCCAAACAGGCAGACAAGCTACAGCTGTGGAGCAACTGAAGCTCAACGGGACTGCAAAAATCCTTTTTCACCTTACGCCACTCACTCATCTCGCCAACAGCAGCTCATCAAGGAAGAGGCCTGTTTTGGATGGTCTGCGAACACTCACCACAAGCCACCCTGTCCGAAGAAAGAGGACCACTCCAAAGATATTGATCATGCAGGTGGTGAAGACGCCATCCCACGTCCCAAACAGCACAGGCTCCCACACAAACAGCTTTACTCTCCACCATGGCTGCGTGTGGCTTGGAGATCCCTGCACACATGCGTAAAACATGTTACTGGACTTTGAGGTATCTTTAGTTCTTAAAGGCATTCCAAAATAAATAAAAAAATACTGTTATAAAGCAGTAACTGGGTACTTTGTTTGAGTTATAGTATTGTATGACACTGGTGAACTCTTTTGATTTATACTGCTCTGCATTATACATGTTTGCACTGCTAATATTTCATAGTTCAATAGTTGTGAGTCATCTTGGTGAAAGGCATCATCTAATAAAGTAGAGAATGATTATTTCTATAGTGAATTTTTATTTATTAACTTTGCCAGATGAATTAAGTGGGAGTCACTACACAGCACACATGTGAATAAGTAGCATTCTTTTATCCTGAGCACTTTTGACAAGAGCTCAACCTTCAAAAAGTGCTTTAGTTGGATTGTGTTTAATGTTGTCATGTGAAGGAACGATAGCTACAGGACCTAAAAGGAAAAATGAACAAAGGCATGTTCAGTTGCTGTTCTTATTTTCAAAGCAAGAACTTGCCTGTGCATCCTCATGAAATAGCTCTTGCACGCGTCCAGCGACGCCTCTGCTTTTCTCAGACTCCAGCAGGACAGATCTGTCTTCAGCAGGGCATCTGCTGGACACAAACCAGCTGAAGGGTGAGGCCTCCATTGCAGAAAAGTGTGTGGTTGTCAGGTGTCAGCTCTCTGAATCGGCGACAAGAATTATCCACATCACAACAACACCTGAAACAAATTTTAACTCACGTTATTGGGAGAGACAAAAAGACACCAAATCTACAGTACACATCTTGGCCTTCAGATTCATACTTAATTCATGGTATTGATTTGACTAAAATCTCTTATTTTCCCAAGTACTGTAGGATACAGGTTCACATTTCTGCAGTCACTCATGTACTGGAGACCAGTTTAATTCCACAAACACTTTTTTAATATTAAATCTGTTTAGTATTCCTCTAATAAACAACATTAATGATGTTTAATTAGAATACTGAGCAGCACCTGTGCAGAAACCAGAATTCACTAGTCTTGTCTTTTGCTTGACACGCTGTTAAGTGAAGATGGGGAGGTTGTACAAGGTAAGAATAGATTCCCTACACCCTTGGTTTTCTCAGCTACAGCCAAACCCAACATTAACACAGACCACCGGCCACTTCGAAAATATGCTGAGGGTTACCTCTTGTACAGCAACACAGGTTCACTGTTAAAACGGGTATTTCAATCATACCAACTGGAAGTTTTTTCTTACAGTACCTTAACGATTATCTGTTTAGCTTACAAGAGAAACAAAAAAAAGGATAACTGGGCCTCTTAAATCGTCCTCTCAGCTACTGTATACTAGTAACCATTATCCGGTTTATATATATATAATACTGTACACAATTACAGCCAAACCCGGCATTTACAAACGCTTTACGTTAAATGTACTGTAAATGGGGCTGACAAACCTCAAATTGACTGTGTTTATTATTAGTACTGAGAGTATTATGTAAAAGGTTCTTGGGTAGGTGCAGGATACTAAGAAAGTTTTCTTATCCCTGAACATGCCAGGTAGCAGCGTCACCAGGAACTACACTTGTGCCATGTCCTGTAGACACATGAGAAACTATTTACTGTGGCAGGCCAGCACTTCACCTAATTAAACTGCTTTGAAACATACACTGTCGTCATGTCAATACAGCTGAAAACAGCACTTCATAAAAGTTAACTGCAATCAAGTCTAACCGCGAAATATTAAAAAGTCAACAAATGAAACATATATTAATTAAACGTTTTCCTTGGAAATACATTGATACCGAGATCTTAGAGGCTGTCTCTCACTAGATGTTCTAAATTTATATCCGTTTTTTTAACAATGCTGTAAGACTAATAATCAGTAGATAACAGCATGGAACCAAAACCTAAACAGTTCTCTGCAATTTGCATACACATTGTTTTTAGAATAATGACACGCATTTACCAACGATTTACTTAAAGATTTGCGGTACACAAAGTACGGTGAGAGATTTCAAAACGAAATTCTGCAGATACAGTACAGAACTCTGCGTTGCACCTGTTTTAAATCCCTTGGTAAAAGAAAATCCCATCTATTGTTGAATGCACTAACGTCAAAACAAAGCAAATATTAGTTGAACTTTTAAATACTTGACATACATACAGTATACTCCAAAATTTATACAAACCATCATACCAGGAAAGGCGAATTCCATATCTTCATTTGATTAGAGGACTCAAGCAATAAAGACATGTGTCTCCACAGTACTAGCAAACACTGACGAAATTGCAGATCAGATAAAATTCGGATATTTAAGTCGCATAATAAATTCAAAAAGCATAACTGAACCATACACTACGTATCACTCTTAAGTCATCTGTAGCACAGGTAATAGCCTCAGTGCCTTCCTTCACAAAACTTTATGCTACGTGTTCCCTGATTTAACGTCACAAAGTAAATATTTGTCCCGGCCAATGCTGTTTAAGGTGTGCTTCACTCGTTTTCACATGTGGCTTTTTTCGCTTTGTGACTAAGGTGCCTTTGGATGTGAAGAGTCCAATGACTCGAGAACTGACGAATCTCCAATACTTTTCTAAATGTGATTTAACATGAATCATCACGTGAACTGACTTCACTAATAACAAGTATTGCATTATAACGCTTCGAAGATCACTTTTCTCAAGGGTATCGCAAGGATCTGTCTGTAATCATTCCCGAGTTTGTGTTTATGGGTAGAAGAGTACTTCTGAAAAAAGAAGTCAGATCGTCATGATTAAGAGCTTTTACACACGTGCAGTATTGTTCCACCTTAGTAGTCATTTTCGCATTTTTTTAAATGAGTATTACTTAATTATCCATAGCCTAATTGAATTGTAATAGATCCTGAGGACACTGAGACCTTATATCTAAATTATTCAAACAACATGCATTTCAAATCAAACTATTTGATTTATTTTTATATTGCTTATTAAACATTTCTTTATTACAACTAAAGCAGTATTCATATACAGTACCAGAGAGATTTTTTAGACCTTCAATCTAAGCACTACTCATCCCTCAAGGCCTGGAGCTCTCTTAATTGAACCGAGTATTTGCATGATTCATCAGTAGCTTACAGGTGTTTACAATCTTTAAAAAAAACAGGAAGCCTATAAAATGAACTGGATTGTGAATTCCTGGGACCAGGGTTGGAAATTACTTTCCTGGTGTAATCTCTCATTCTGGGATACTGAAACACAGGGGAAGGCATTCTTCCTGCTCAGACCCCCACTATGCTGGGAATTAGCTCTCATGCACCCCCTGAATTGCAGAGCAAAGCTTTGTGTTTGAGCCGACAATAATCCAGGTGTGCACAGATCCAGGTTTTTGTTTCACCTCAGTTCTTAATTGCCAGCATTCCCACTAATTATCATCTTGATAGATTAATTTAAGAACATGTCCCAGTCCCACAGGTACTGGTGATGTAGAAAACCTATGGAATCTCCTGCAGAGAGTTGTGCATTGCTGCAGCAATCCGTTAAAATGTTTTATCATTAAGGAACTAAAAATAGTTATTATATTTAGAAGTGCTTTGAAAAATGAACCATGAATAACATTGCTTAATTCTCTAAAACAGTAGCTGCGCAATGGAGAAACGCAGCATTATACAATACTCGCAGCAGGGATGATCTCTCGTACTGTGCAACTGCCCTTCATGTCTCATTTAGCATTTAGTAATGCTTTGGACTTCTAATAACCTCTCCCATTCATCACTCAACATCGCATCCTTACATCTGGTGTTTAGCTTTTGTTTCTAATGCAGATCAAACTGTCACAGAACAGCTCAGGAACAGGTCAGTCCACTGCAATTACCTCTCCTGCCAAGAGGAAAAACCATTCATATTTTATGTAATAATTTGATAAACAATTTTTGTTCCTGTGTTCAGTTTTCAAGAAACAAATGTGCAACAAGACACATTTTAAAAGATCCAGTAATCCCGTAAAACCTAGTTTAGAAACTAGAAGACATTTTTAGATCGAAAGTAGTTTGATCTATATGTGTTACTTTTACCTCTCAAATGCTATCTTATAGTTTCTGGGATATTTAGTGTTGAATTATGATAAATGAATTAATGTTATCATGCATTTTGTCAGTCTCTGACATCTTTGTATTGATGTTTACAAAAGGCAAGTCCTCCAAGCCCTAACATCTGGCTTTCAGGGGAGTGCTGGAATGACACTAGTGTCGTAATTCTAAGAGCAAATAGAGACAATGGACTGTACAACATGCTGTACTTCTTTAGGCTTTTTATTATGGTACATCAATGGCATAGTACATACATTTTGCTGTGTGTGCTAAGAGACGTTTTTAATATCCCTACTGTTAATAATTGTAGTGCCCCTTAGTTCCTAGGACAAATACTGCCCTCCTCCAGAACAGTGTCGTGAAGTCTTGAGATGAAGGGGATATCAAGGCGTTTGCACAGCTCCAGTGATATCCAATGAAGTCATGACCAAGGCAGGGCCCTGTATCAGGCTGGAACATGCAGGGAGCTGACAACTTGATCATGTGACCTTGTGACCATACAAAGGATAGGCAGCAAGGAAGTCATAGGCTACAACCCTCCTCATATCCACATGTGATTAACCGAAACCTGTCAGGTATTTGTGCACCGAGGGGACCTGCAGAATATGTTGGGAATTATGGGAATATCGCAGAATGTTGGGAATATGCTGCAGTTATTACCTGCGGAACTATTTTAATACTTTGCATCTTTTAATTCTGCCAGGCATTTTTATTAGGTACCACCATGTGTTTCCTTTTTAATATGAGTTGAGAGGACAGGCTTGCCTGCGGAAGATTCCATTGTGAAAGCAGTCCTGTTAATAGAGAAAATATAAAGATATCCAAGCATTTTGGGGTGTGTTAAGATAGTCATAAAGGTTAGAGCTCTAGTGGTAGAGGACCGGATCTAGGGAGTCTAGATCTTGCTAGTCTAAAAAATATTTGTCTTGTAAACTAGTGGCCGTTTCTTCAACAATAAATTATTCATGAAATGTTAAAGAAGTCATGTGGATGCTCTCGTATTCCCTAACAGTGAAGTGAGAGTTTTATTATTTAACTTTTATAAATTGCTTGTAAAGAAGCTGGAGGGAAGATTGGTTTAATTACGTGTAAATATTTAACGATAGCCTTTTTGCCACTTTATGTAAGAGTATACATGCATGTTTCTGAGAAGACTGTTGTAACAACAGCACAAAGTTTTGTGTGGCTGGATTTAATGGTTAAAGCCTGTGAAACTCCATAAGCTACTTCTTGTTTTGCATGCTAAGGAGTTCAGTATGATATCATTATATGGTTGCTTCAAGCAGCAGAAATGTTACCTATAATAGTGTGGTGCACGAACTGCATTTTAGAGAAGAAAATTTGCAGACAAGAGCCAATTTTACCCTACATGCTCATTTGGCAGTTTTTTTTAAAACTAAGTTCATCTTTAGTAAAAAAAATGTTATCCAACTATTTTTCTAGTGAGCCCAGAATATTGCCCTCTCTACCTAGTTGGGAAGGTAGGTTACCTATTTGTGTAAAGAACCATATCCTGCTCTTCAAGTTAAAAATGAACTTTTAGTTTCCAGTTGTGACCCTGCCTGGGTATGCCATCTAACATACTTTGATTAGATCTCCTGTCAATCACCATTGCTCTAGACTGAAGAAACTTGTCTCCTTTAACCTGTCCCTATAAAATCCCCAAAAACAGGAATATTTTTGTTGCTCTTCTTGGAACTCCTTCTACGGTACGATGTTATGTCTGCCTTGGGGATGATCTTCAGATTAAAGGTTTGGAGAAGTACAGTATGTAACGGGCCAGCTGGCCTCCTCTAGGTAGAACTATTAACTATTTAAGGTAACTCACAGGAACAGCAGTCATAGTGCTTGAAAACCCTCTATTGGGAACTGGATTTGTAATTTGTGACTATAAGAAAAGCTTAAGCTTTCATCTGATCTGGGCCAAAGCAGAGATTCATGCAAATCAACAAATTATTCAGACACAGTTCACATACTGTAAATCATATATATTTGAATGACAAATGAACCCACAATAGCAAAAATGTAAGACACAATCAAAAACCAACAATATCCAGTATAATTAGATTTTGACAAAACAAAACTTATACATAATATTGCAAAGTCATTTCTTCCTACTTGAACCGCATCTGCTACGATAAAAAGCTTACAACACATACAAAAAGATAACCAGTGTACTAAAAGTGACCAAAAGAGGACGGGCGAACCCTCCAGGAGCGAGTGAGAATATAAACAGCAAGCTTTTAAAAAAATATTTTCCTGTGAAATGTAACATTTTGGATTGTTAACACAAACCTTTAAAAGGTAGCTGCTAAGGATTTAAAATGCCATTTCACATCAATTTCATTGTAAAAACCAACCTCTTTTAGAGCGATGTTTTAATTTGTTTTCCCAATGTGAAGACTCAAAGAGAACTGCACTACAGATGGGAAATGACTGAAATCATTTCTTGCCCTCGCGCTGGGAATAAGCTGGGTAATTTTCAACATATTAGTAACAGATATCTCGAAAACCTTGGAACTCGTGTGTTTAAAACAGTGAACTTGATCCCAATTATACAAAATAAGAAATGTATTCCGCTTAAGTCTATTTGTTAGATGTGAAAGTTAACAGTGTTAAAAATTCCTTATTATCAGTTCATTTTGCCATTGCTCTGAATAGTTCAGAAATTATTGTGCAAATGTTCCTGTAAAAAAATACTTTGAAATATGGCTAATGTACACAAGAGGTGTGTGTTAGATTAGCACTTCACCTGATCATAATGGTGAAGCACTGACTGCAGACAAGTATTGGCTTTAGTCTTCAGGGCCTATGTACATTTTTAAAGTTAAACAATTTCAGAAACCAGAAATTAACTGTTTGACAGAATGATTTTGGAATCAGACTGATGCATAGATGTGAGAATTCGTGGGCTACCTCAGCACAGGTAGATGAGCAAGGGTGGGTTCCTCATTCAAACTGTATCGAAGCTTATTGAAATTGGCAAAAATATAAGACATTAAATAATGAAAAATATTAACACAGAACTGCAATAATGTACTTCATTGGTATTAGATACTTTGGAAACCTTTATATCGCCAAAAGTTTCCAAAATATTGCAATACTTTAATTAAAACTGGGGAAAGAAACTGTCAAATTTTAAGAATCGATTCACATTTTATTATTTGTGTAGTTATTAAAATAGACTTTAAATCTGATTGTAAACCATTCCCCTGCTTGAATCCAGTTAATCATTTTAGACATTATTGCTTAACCGATAAACAACACATTATAGGTACCAGAATTAAATTGTACTGGTTTAAAATGATCGTATTTACAGGCAACAAAAAGTTGAGTGTACAGTTCAAGATACATTACATATTTACAGCCAACATAAACTTTCTACTGTAATATTCTTAAACAATGGAATGCATAACTAGAAAAAAGGAAGAGGAAATTATTTGTCCTTGATTGTCAGAACAGATTACTAAACTCAAAATATCTGAATGAATGACTCTCTTGTACTTGTATAAACGACACTTGGTATAAGAAATAATTAAAAATAAAATCACAGTACACCTGCATACTGTACGAGCCTTAAAAACCGGGAAGACTTTCATACAAATAGAAACATTTCATAATCTATTGGGCATGACTGTGCTTTTAAACAACAAGGGCAATTTAATAAGGATACGATTATCTTACAGTCCGTTTTAATGTTGCTGAAATTCAGGTTAAAAACTTCAGTATATCTATACTCTTTTTTTAATCTACAATGCAGATGTCACAATATTAAAAGGTCTAGAATCATATATGTTAAATCATACCTTAAATGCCACAAACAAAAATAAAAAGCATAACTGTACCAGTTTCCACAGCACAATCACCTTTTGTACCGAAGAAAAAGAACGTGGAAAGATGGAAACCTGAGTTATTGTAGCTGTCTAGTTACGAGTGAAACATTGTACAGTATATGTTTTCCATTTAATAACAAAATCAGAACAAGCAAAGCAAAAGCAAAGCCTTTCACTTAAGGTACGATTTAGTAACTTACCCAGACAATCCTTTCAAACTCACATTATTTTGTAAAAGTACAAACAAGTACTTCCATACTAAGCAGATAAAAATAGCCAATGAAGAGCTGGATTTAAGGCCATAATTTTATGTTACATTTGTTACATCAAGGAGTGAAACAATTATTTATCCTGCAGGGGACAACCTGTTTTCAAATATCAGTGTTTCTATGTTGTCAACACCACAATACACTCTTTAGAAAAGTATTGCTGCTCACCGGTTCACCTTAGAGATTAAAATGAGCTCAGTTTTTTAGTTTAGTTGGATGACTAACATACAATCAGTAAAAAATATTAATTTTGAAAAAAGTGCTTTACAATGTTAAGTCGCCTATTAGTGATTCAAAATGTTCCCAAAAACGTACTTCGCATTGTGAATGCTAACACACTGACGTGACTCCAATACAAGAAAGGTAACAAGTCACTCCTTTTTATGCTGCTGTAAGCTTGGTAATCAGGAAAAGTGCTTCTACTGTACAGCTTTAACAGAAATACATATATATTTTTATGTGAACAAAACATTAGGAAGATGGCAGATACATGCAAAGGCACCAATGGGGAAAAATGTTATAAGCAAATGAAATGTTAAAAGCAAATGTAAAAGACATTTATATATTTCTTTAAAACAAAAAGCAATAATGTACAATATATTCTATTTCAAATTTAAATACTGAAAACTACTAAGATTTGAAACAAAATGCTGTCATTACTGCAATTAAAGTGTGAATTACACTTGGTAATTATACAATTCCTTAACAACAATGTGTTATTTGATAGGAATACTTTTTATCAGTACAATACAGGTCTTCAAGCTGCTTGTAGTTACTAAAGAAATATAAAGGGAAAACTTGTAATACTTTAACTTTAGATTGTGGTATGCATCACAGGGACAGTCACACTAGCAGGCTATGGAGTGTTTTCTGAACACCCCAACATGTGACTCTGTCAATGAGTCTTGCGATTTGCTATTTTGCAGGTCAGGATTCTCAAATTCCTTCCACTGATTTGAGCAATATTTTAATATCAGGACAACAAGCAATTTGTTTGTCAGAATTTGCATATGCAATTTTCAAGACAGCACAGTAAAATAATTTCTTAAGAGATTTAATAGCAGACTTCTACACAACCATGATCATTGCATGTAAGTGTAAGGTTGATTGCCATTTTTAAGGGACAAAAGTGTGCAAATCAAGTTAGCAAAAGATATTTTAAAGGAAAGGAATGATGATATTTACAGATCTATGGTCTGATTAATATGTCATTTATTTTATTAAGTTCTACACCAACATGTGCAATCCTCTGTTTTAAAGCAACACTAACATATACCGTATTTAGCCCTTCGCATCCTTTGAAAGCTTGGCTACTCAGGAAACAGGAAATTTTGAAGACTTTCATAAATGCAGAAGAAGCATTTTTTTCAATCAAATTTTAATTCCTGTGCTGTACAGCTGGGAGAATTATTCCTCTTTTCTTTGTCAGTTAGAGAGGTAGCAGCAGTAATTGGATGCTTCAAACAGAGCTCTGTGACAGTACAGTTTACAGTAATCAGAGGCTACTGGTGACTGTTCCACACAATTATTCATACAAATATATACTATGAACGTACAAGAATAATAAAGGTTATTTTTTTGCATTTCAAAAGAAGCCCCCAAAATATAAAATAATATTTTTGCCTTCTCCATATTACTGCATCCTGTTTTGTTTTTTTTAAGAATTTGAAAAAGTAAGGATGCAAAAGGTTAAAAATTAATCTATTGCAATTTGCAGGTGCTGGCATGGTTTTGTTTTTTAAAATAGTACAAATTCTGATACTTTACTATCACTCTGAAATGAAAGTGAAGTAAATGACTAAGTATTTCTGTCACCTGCTATCATATTTGATTGACTCCCTGGAGCACTGAGAAACTATGTAGAAACTCTCACGGGTAATGAAAAGGCATACACTTATTGGGAGCAGTTTGTCCTAAGATTTTTAATACACTGAAATTACTTCTAATTCAAAAGTCTGGAGTGCACTGCACCTTTTCACGCTGTAGTTAATGTTTAATTATTAAGCATAAAAAAACTTGTCTTCATTTAGCAATGTGAATAAATGACCAATTTTCCAGGCAGAAGTGGTGAACTACTCTAGTTTGCCATTTAACTCTGAACCTTTGTGTTAAATAAATTCAATCATAAGCAAGTATTTTGAAGCACTTTAGAAGCTCAAAATACAGATGCAACCAAAAATGGTCCTAAAAATTGACAAACATCACAGAATTTTAATTTAGTTCAGGAAAAGGCTTGTTCTTATAGTCACTATTTGTTCTACACTGCATGATTAAAGACTGTAAAGCTGTGCTAGACACACATTATTTAAATATGGGTTATTACATTCATCACTTAAATTAACCTTAATAATAAAAGTACTTAAGAAAGCAATGAAAAAAAAAAGTTTAACATATCTCATGTCTAAAACAGAACTAATACAGTTCTCTCTCTAAGAAATTAGAGAATTAAGAGATGAAACATTGAAGGGAAAAAAGCATTATGAATTTCATTGTTTTTTTTTTTAAATGACCATGTATTCAAATTACTGTGAACTTTACCTTTTACAGTGCAGTCCAGTTTGGCAAGAAATAAAAAAAAACATGGATATAAAGTGCCTTTGAAAAATTACATGTTTTTTTTTCAGCCAAACGTCTGGCTGGTTGTGGCATCTGGTGAAGAAGTCATTTGTGTTCTGTTCTCAGTCACATTAACCAAGGGGAATTCTGGGAAGTCTGTGCCTGATCCATGTTCCCGCAGATTCACTTGTCCGTTGGCAGTGCTGAACTGGGAAGAGATTCCAGATCTGGCGCTCTGGAACTGAGATCGGAAGTTCTGCTCAAAGGCAGCTATCTGAAAGGCTTGGTGGATTGTCTGCGGCTCATTTTTTTTCGAGGAAGTCACCTGCTCAAGAAAGTCTTCTGCAGGGGAGACAGAAGAATGATTGGGTTCGTCCCCTGAAAATGAGAAAGAGTGTTGAGAGTCTCCAACTATTAGCCCAAAATGAGACTTCTCTGAGGAGGACCTCAAAGGAGAGTTCATCCCTGACCGAAACCGGCTTGTCAAAGTGTACTGTTTGTCGATGGTGGAAAACAAAGGCTGGCTTGAAAGACTCTGACTCTCAGTCACAAATGTAAGGCTCTGGTTATTTAAATAGGCATCGTTCTGGCTAGTTCTTTCCAAGGCTTGCTGAAGAAACTTGGAGTATTCCTGGAGCATGCTGGCTTTTTCTGTGGAGGGTGCCTGGGAACTTGTCCCAATAGCCTCAGCCTGATTAACCTCAGAGACATCAGAGGAGTTAATGGATATGCTCGAGGTCACCTCTGTGTCGGCCACACTGAAAGATATTTCAGGCTGTCCATTTGCCTTGTTGGAATAGTGGTCCAGGAGAGTTTGAAGCACTTCGTCAGGAATAACATTCTTGTCGTGGTTAGACTTAATTTCAACGTTTAAGGTCTGCGTGTCTAAAATAGAGGCTGTGGTACTCTCATCAATGACACTGGCCACAGCCGCCTGGGTGACAGAGGGCTGAGAAGCAATTGTTCCCACGTTAAGGGCATAATCCCTACTGTTGTTGGTAGCTGCCTGCAGGTACCTTTTCTTTTTTAAGAACTGCATGGCATCATCATAATTGGTACTGTTTGCAACTGGTTTACTTGGGCCTTCCTGAAGGTTGTCTACCTGGTCCATATCTGCGTTGCTCTCTACCTCTAGAAGGCCTTGCTTGTCAACAAGGTCAAATGTGTATTTGGTGACCTTGCCATCTTCAAAAGAAGACAAGGGAGACATGTTCTGGTTCTGCTCCAGGGGCGGCTTCTGGCTCCTTTTGTTGCTGACCTTTTTAAGGACCAGTTTGGGAGGGTGGATCTCTTCGGCGGCCGACTCGCCCAGCTGCCTGCCCCCGAGGGACGAGTGGGGCAGCTCGACGGAGTATTCGGCCACCATGTACTCGTCTTTCACTTTGGAGGCGACCGCGAACAGCGGCAGGTAATCGTTCTTGCCAGTCTTGGGCTCCAGCTTCTCCTCGCTGCTGGCCTTCTCCGGGAGAGCCGCTAACGTCCTGGACTTGTCACTGCTCTTCTGTCGCTTCTTCTTTGGCAGCGGGCTCTCCTTCGGAGGCGAGGAGAAGCCCAAGTCCTCCTCGCTCCCCAGCAGCCCAGCCTTTGCGACGGCTTTGTTCGCCTTCCTGTCCCTGTTCTCATGGCACATGCGCTTGTGTTTCAGCACGCGATCAGTCCTGGAGAAGTACTACGACAGAAGGAGAGGGAATTAAGGCCTGCGTACAGTACATACGACAGACGTACTGAAGCAGCTGCTAGCAGTTAAGTCAGTTAGGAACAGAGGTGCGTGTAAATGAGTTTATACTTAATTTCCATACTAAAGGTTCTACTAAATTAAAAGCAGAGGAAGCGGCTTTCAGTAAAGCCCCATTTTACAGATCCATCGTAGATTCCTTTTTGTAAAGAAAGGCGCGTTCTTACTTGATTGCAGTATTCGCACTGGTAGGGCTTTTCTCCGCTGTGGGTTCTCTTGTGCCTTTCCATGTGGTATTTCTGTATGAATCTCATACCACACTCATCACAGCGAAAGGGTTTCTCACCTGTCAACATGCAAACAGACCGCATCTCGCTTCATTACCGCCTTGGCACATCAGAGGATGGAGAAACATCTTACTCTTTGAATAATGCAAAACTATGATCTAACCCCTTTCCGTAACGTGATTTCCCTGCAGACAGAAGATAAGCCTTGCAGTGTTCTATCAATACGAGCTGCATGTCCAATTTATGTTGTTTGTAAAACAGGTGAAGGAATGATATTTACAGCTCGAGAGGAACGAAGAGCCTCACCCATACAGTACTATCATACCACCACAGAAGTGAGAAATGGTAGGGCCAAATTAGAAATCAGCTTTTACTGCAAAACCTTTACATTCGGGAAAAGACAGAAGCAATACTGCCGGCAGAGATATAAAATTCAGGAAGCAAAGCACCTAGGTGCAAAGTGGGAGACGAATGTGACAAGTACAAGGCCTGAACTTCACTGGAATGATGCAAACACTTGGCATCATAACGAGACAGCTTCAGTGTAATGCACTGACTGAACAGCAGGGGGGGCACAAAAGCAAAAGTGCATTTCCAGCCACCGCATTTACAGAGCTGAGAGAATCCACTTTCAGTCCCAGCTATAAAATTCTTTAGCCTATGGAAACCATGGCAACAAAGCTGCCCCATGTCACATCATCCCCACATGGGCTTTAAAAATACAATGTACGGCGCATGCAACGATCCGAGTCCGACCAGTTTTTCCTGCTCTCAAATCAGATTTCTTAAGGAAACTCAATGCCCGAATGTGTAAATTGGGACATTGAAGATGGGCTTAAGGGCAAAAAATGTTTCCACTGCCGACATTATAATCTGTATCGCGTCATTAGAAATTCTCATCCTACCAGTGTGAATCTTTTCATGTCTTTGTAGCAGGTACTTCTGGATGAAACGCATATCACACTGGCTGCACTGAAATGGCTTCTCACCTGAAACAACCAAAGAGAAGACATACTTTGTGTGCATTACATTGCATTCTCTTTTTTCGTTGGAAATATATTAAAATACTAGTCACCAAGGAAGGGTACAATGAACTTAAAATGTAAAAATACAGATACGTGTGCAAAATCTACAAATTCCATAGATTCATTCATACAACAAAAATACTATAGAATTTCTCAGGTTTATCTTAATTGCACAGTGATGCATTTTAAAAAAAACATCCCTGCCAGGTAACCACAGTGATGGATAATTAGTGCGTTTTCAAAGCAGAGGAGAAGCCCAGGATGACAGACTGCCAGGAGCTCAAACACTGCCTAGTTCTGTAATATGGTGAAAAAAGACAGTGGAAATGAATTTTGCTGAGGTGGTGAATGAACTAAAGCAGCAAGGGGCAATAGCTCAGCCCCGTCCGTACCTGTATGGATGTAGACATGTCTTTGTAAATGGTAGTTGGTTCGGAAGGCAGCGGTGCAATGCTCACAGACATGAGACTTTGGACTCTTAAGTCCCAGTGATCCATCTTCATTAAAGGTAAGAATCTGATACGAACAGAAGAAGTAATTTACTGTGTTTTGTGTCTTAAGACCAGGTTTTAAAACAAAGTACAAAAGAATTACAATTCATTCAAAGTCTACATTCCTCCTGTAGTTAAAATTATGTTGCATCATTACCCTCTAATATATCTGAGATGATGTGGTTTGTAAAACTTAAAAAAGTAGGTGAAATCTGTTAATCCCGTTCAATTTTGATTGAATTAAAATGATGACGATACCAAGAAAAAAGACATTCGACAAAGTCAGTAAAAATCTGTACAACCTGTATAGTTCAGGAGTTTAACATTAAGGAATTACTGCTTTATTTCTCAATTTTTAACAAAGGAGCACATTAGGGCAAAGAGCTTAAGCTGTGTCAGAAAATACTCTTTTTGATATTAATAGACTTCACTGCGTTAGACAGGAAATAAAAACAGCTCAAATATGGGTGATCACAACTCTATAATTAAGTAGAGTGGCAAGAAATTAACATTGAAAATAAAGAGAACTACAATGTATTTTCCACTATTACTTCTTTAAATTTATTTTGTTAAAGTATAATAATTTGATAAATTTAGTACTGAAGTTGTAAAAATAAACAATTAGCCCTACACATTGGAAAATAATAAATAGATTAATTTTATATTTGTTATTTTATACTGTATAGTCACTAATGTCATATCGATCATGTTCTGATTCTTATAATGATTTAACTAAAAATCACAGTGGTGAAATAAAATAAACCAGTAGATTTACGAACATATAAAACTGGTCCACTTTTATCACATTCAAATTCAAAACATTCTTTCCCCAAAAAAGGACGGAAGGTCATTTGATTTTTGATGCTAAGCACTGTAATACTTTTTGGCATTTAACATGCTGCAAAAAATGAAAAAAGATTTCATAAAAAGACGCCTAAAATGGCAATTGATGTCTTTTCTTGCCAGTACATTAACAATTATAGTTAAAACTCACATGATCTTTAAAGTTCAAGATAATTATATGAAAATTATACTGATTTTGATTAATTAGAATAAATTAACATTAGCATAAATAAACCGTGTTATATAGGTTTGCCTCTTTTTAATACAGGTCTTCTAGCTTATGATACAGAGACAATGGCAGGAGGGCACTGTTCTCTGCTGTAATTTAGGATGGGCATACTTTTCAGGTTATCATTTAACCCTACAATTACAGTCAAAGCCACTGAAAGCCATTCCCTTTATGTACCAATCCCTACGATAACATGAAGATGCCCCGACAAAGAACATACCACAGATTACAAAAATATACTGGCTATGGTGTGAAACCCTGTCTTAAATCCACTGGCACTGTATGTACCAGGAAATTAAGCCTAAGGGCTTTCTGTAATGAAAGTCCAACTTTCTGTTCCTCTTTTGTGCATCAGAAGGAGATGAAGTCGAACACACTCGTGCCTGGAAGGCTGGGAGATATCGAGTGAGAATACCTTTGCAGGAGAGTGCTGCTTTCTTTTCTTCTTTTTCTGACACTCAGCAATTTCTCTAGACTGCTTCTTCTCCTTTTTCAGCTGCGCTGCTTCCTCAGACAACTTCATTTCCTGTTTGACATCTACCTACAAAACACCACAAGGCTACTAAATGGAGATACACAGAGGCTCTATCATTTCTAAGATTAACAATCTAAGCCAGTTCATAAGAGGACTTGTGGCAGGGCTGTGACTGGTATAATCAGTAAGGCTAATACAGCTGAATGACTGTCTAGTTTTCTGAGTCCACGTCATTTGCAAATTATCAGCATAATAAAGAAAAGTTCTCTTATAACCTGCCCTTATAATTTATGTGGAATTGTAAATTCCCTATTTCCAGTATTTTTTTTTTCTATTTAAAAAATTCTATTAAAAAAAGTTGCAATTTCAAAATAATATTTAGAAGACATAAAGAGCGTCTGAAAGATTTCCACTTGTCCATCTCTCCACTCTGGCACATCCTTGTTAACCAACGGTCCAGCAAGTCACAGGTCTGACTCTGAGCAGGAGTGAAAAGGCAAATGTGGCCGAGATTCCCATCCTCAGAACAAAAATCAGTTTTGGGATTAGCGAGTTAAAACGGTAAGAGAAAATTACTGCATGCAGATGTGCAGTGAGGTCGGAGTGAGCTCTTTCCACCTTGGTGACTTAATGAATTTGAGTAACTGACAGATGTCACACGACACTCATCAGCAGGTTAATCTGATGCCATCGTATTTAGTGTGGATCAGTGAACCTTATGCGTCCCTTGTTGTATTGCAGAGAAAAATACAGAAAGACATCAGACCTTAAGTCATGTACACGTATATAAAAATAACACAGTTTGCAGAAGCTGATGCCATGATATTCGACTACATCATAAACCTCCAGAAGCAGCCAAAGCCCAGAGGTATATTAAAAGTAGGGCTCAAAAACAAGATGCTGTTTTGTGAAACAACAGTCCTATTTTGAGCGGCACAGTGACACAGTGGTTTGCACTGCTGCCTTACGGCGCTTTGGCTTCAATGCCTGAGGTGCTATCTGTACGGAGGTTGTATGTTCTCGACATGTTCCTGTGGGTTTCCTCTGAGTGCTCTGGTAGCCTCCCACAGTCCAAACACACACTGGTAGGTTAGCTGGCTCCTGGGAAAACTGGCCCTGGTGTGAGTGCGTGCGTGTCTGTGTCTGTCTGCCCTGTGATGGACTGGCGTCCCGTCCAGGGTGTATCCTGCCATGTGCCCACTGTTTGACAGGTTAGGCTCCAAAATTGGGTGAGGCAGTGAGAAAGAGGATGCGATCTACGGTCCAGTGTTTTCTGGATCAACCCTAGGGATTCTGTTTGTGCTTGTTCCTCCCGAGGCTGGTCAGATGATCCCTGACTGTGCATGAGGATGCAGTATCCCACAGTGCAGCGGCAGTGCGGCAGCAGGGAGGGGACCTACTGGCAGGTGCATGGCGTAGTGCAGCTCTTGGGAGAGCCGGTCATGCATCTCCTGGTCCTCCTCGTCGTTCTTCACCGTCTCCTCGTGGACCATGAGCTCGTCGTGGGGGATCAGGTCGTGCGGCGGGAGCCGGCTGTCCGGCAGGCCCTCGCCCTCGTCCGCCAGGATGTCGTCGTGCGGCATGCCCCTGCTACCCGCCCGCGCCGCCGCGACCTGCTCCTGCGCCACCAGGCCCCGGGGCGGCGCCATGTCCACCGCGCTGCTGCATTTCAGCAGGATACCCTCCAGCTTGTCGTCGATGTTCATTCTGAGCTGACGGGACGCTGCCGTTCAGGACCTGTGCACGCGAGAGACCAGGGAAAACGGGCTCGCTTAATTTCCACATCTCGGAAAGGACAGCTCCCATGTAATGGCTAAACAAGCACGGACCATAATGCAATTCCATCTAGGGGTGTCTGTTGTGCAGTGTATGTCCCAAGAGATCAGTGCGAATAAGAATTGCAATGTACATGTGAATAGGCCATTAACTCCTCTACTACTACAGGTGGCACAGTAGTACGGTGGTTAGCATTTGGGCTCAGTTCCTGGGGTGCGATCTGGGTGGAAGTCAGCGTGTTCACCCCGTGTTTTCGTGGGTCTCCTCTGGGTGCTCCGGTTTCCCCCCGCAGTCCGAAGACATACTGGTAGGTGGACTGGCTTCTGCGATAGTGGGCGTGGTGTGAGTGTGTGTCCTGCGATGGACTGGCACTGGCGATGGATTTACTGCACATCTGCAGGGTGTATAAGATCACCTTGCACCCAGCGCTTCCCGAGATAGACTCCAGGCCACCGTGACCCTGGACTGGATAAGTGGTTATTGAAAGTGATATGGTGACGACGTCTCTCACATCCCTTGTTACTATAAAAAGAGACCCACTGATTCTGATCGCTTTATTCTAATCTTTTGTTTAAACCTTAAAAGTGAAACAGGTTGAAAAGCTTAAGTTTTGGGACAGTGAAGTGAAATTAGTTATTTCTGCTGTGTGCATAGTGAAATTCGTATTTCAGATGAAAAGATTAATATGAGGTGAATGTCAGCTTTTGTTTCTGGGTTTTATTTTGCGTGCATGTTTAGCCATGTTAGAACAATGGCATTTTTGGGGGATCAACCCCCCCAATTTCGGGTGAGCAAATGTTTTGGGAGTTAAGTCTTTATGTTAAAGTAAATTACACTAGCGTACAACAGCTCAAAATGAATTGTGTTCCTGCACACAGGCAGCAATCTTATCATTCTGTATTGTAAATAGAACCTGAACTTCCAAACGACCCAGCCTTGAACAGCAGAGCTCTCAGAAATAGGTGCCAAAAGTTCCATGAAACAATTGGGTTAAACTTAGCTCACCAAGCAGCTTGGCACAATCGAAAAAGTGAAGTGAGCCAACATTATCACAATTGTTTCTTGCAAATTGGCACATCTTCATAATTTCTCCATTTTTAATGGCTGTGGCCTTTTTGCAAACTGACTTTTTTTCATATCCATAATATGTTTGGCATAGATATCACTTCTTTATGAGTCTATGAAACACCAGACGATATATGTATCGTATTACACTTATAACAAAAATAATATTTTACTTTATATACTCTAGGTAGGCAATAACTTCATTACATACAGAACATACTGTAAAATACACCTGTAAGAGGACAGTAAATTAATTCTAACTGGATTTGCATTTGTATATCACTTTTTTTTCCATGTTTGCTTCTAGACGATACTATGAGTCTTATTTGACGACTGTAATTCATCGTTAATATATGTACATGAACAAGAGCCAGTAAAATTTAGACGCTTGGAGGGCTGGTACTCCCACATTTTGCACAGCATACCCAAAGATTATAAAGAATAGTACAAAACAACCGCTTCAGATAGGACGCTGGTGCTGTTTAATTCTGATATGTATGAAAAGTAGTTTCGATGTAGTTTTAACATCGGCTATCTTCCAGAAAGCAGGCTCTCGCTTGCTTGTGTGACTCTAGGGAATGTACAGTATACCACCCTGTCTCCTGCAGTATGGCTTCCAGTATGAATCGCTGTTCAGACAATCCTCTGAACGTGACCAAAACCGGTTACTGAAATATTAGCACAGGAGACCGTGTAAATTATACTGCGGGGTCAACCAGGATATACTGTAGGTGTCAGGTCTTACGCTCGAATGATTGTGAGGTATTTTGGTCTTCTTTTCCAGGTACATGTTCAACGGTGAAACATCAGTAATCCATCGAATACAATGTCAGTATACACACATTTTTCTGGTTAATTTTGTCGCGGTTAAAAGCGAGAGAACGTGATATTAAGTAGAAACGCCGTTTCAAAAGCGGAAAAATGTCCGAACTGCTTATTTAAACTACTATTTTCCCGACGTAGTGAAGCTGTAACACAACATACCCTCAAAAAGGTTAGCCTATAGGTCACTGATAGCTACAGTAGTAACTGCAACTCCTTTGACATTTTGTAACTTAGTGTCTAGACTACCATTTAGCTCCATTATGTTATTTCCCCTATACGTAATGTACATGATATATTTCAGATATTTTTTCTAGCTCATCGGCTCATCACAGAGGAACTTACAAGCGATGTCGTCTTTTTAAACAATCAGGAAGAGGCTTTATTTGCCAAAAATGGCATTTTATTGACATCAAGGCATATTAATTCCCCAAGGGCAATTGTAATTAAGAATAAATTCAATGACCCCATCAGGCTACGTTTCATCTAACCTTACATCTTACGGGTGTGCAGATGTCTCAACCCGAGAGCAACCAGGTAGCTATGCTCTTTTTGTTTTTCCGTGTATACTCAAAAATTTAACCTTTTACTTTGAAAGCTAAAATGTTGACCCAAGCAACTTTAAAAAAACAGCATTCAACCAAATTCGTACACATCAGTACATATGTGCTATGAAAAACAACAGAGAACTCTCCAGTTTTTCCAGGATCCATAAAAGCATATTATTATATTATAAAAGCATTATCGGAAGACACAAAGAGCCGGCCCATATCTCGGAGATCCACTCATTTTTACTTGCATTTTAAGCGTGTCAATTTTCAGGTCAAAGGGGTTGGATGCACGCAGACCTCACCCACAGGATTTTAACACAGCCAAATCCAGGTAAGCAACACTTTTAAGACTTTCAATTTGCTTAAACACACATCTAAAAGGTAAGTGCACTGCCCTCCCCCGTCATTGAAACAAATACTGTATGATGGGTTTCTTTCAACTTTTAACATTTGAAATGGACCGAATAGCTATTCAAAGGGGGGAGATTCTCATTCTGAAACATCTGCAGAAAATACTGATTCAAGCACTGTACCTGAAACTTCGGTATTTGCGAAAAGAACACCAATTTTCCTTGCATCACACCTTATACGTTTATTTTTATTTGTGCATTTCAGCATTTGATTTTCTTGAATTGGTTCCTGCAAGGTCCAAGCAGGATTCGTCCCTTCCTTTCTATAACATGCATTTCGGTGGGCAAAGGTCCGCACTCGCTTGCCAACGGCTTCTGTGGTGTTTCTTGTGCGTGCAGACATTGCTACCCAGCAAGTCGGGACGTTTTGCAGCACGGTAAATCGGTAACCAAAAAAAGCGCCCGGTTCACCACAGAGGCGTTTAAGACGACGCACGGAGGCAAATAAAGATACCAAAAAAAAATAAAATAACGCCTTCACGCCACAGCACCGAACAAAAATTAAAAAAATAGAACAGACGTCACAACGCGGAAATGAACGGGTTAAACGGTAATCTTTGAGGATTGCTTTCACGTCATATTTTCCTATCGCCTCGGCTGCAAATTAAGTGAATTTGTGTAGGGTTTTCAAGGTGTCCGATGGTCTCGGCGATCCTGCCTGGGTGCCCCCGGCTCGGCTACCTGAGGCTGCCGAAGTTGCAGCCGAGACCAAGACCACCCGCAGCCCAGCTCAGTTCACAGGACTTGGACCAGGAGCCCGCGGTGCAAAAGCGACGCAAAAGTGTTGCCTTCCGAGACGAATTCACGTCACACCCGCCTTATGTCGGAAACTACACAGACGAAGCACGCAATCGTTTTAAAAGACACACACAAAAAAAAAACCAAGCAAAAACAAAACCCAAGAGCAAATCGAGCGCCTCTGCACCTAGTTTTGAAGGCCTGCTGGCTTCTCTTCTTTCCCTTAAAACACCAGCGACAAACAACTGAATCGCACTCACAAAGACAGGTAGGTGGCGAGTCTGCGGCTGGCTCTCGCTGGCTATTTCCGAAAACCCTCCAGCCTTACGAGCCCTGCCGCCGCACGGACGTGCCCGCTGCCATTCAGCGTCAAGAACGATGCAAATTCCCCAGTGTCGCTTCGCAATTAAACCTGCGAACCGAGCGGAGGCCTGATTGCCTGAGATCAGTCACAGAGACCCACACACACACAGAGAGAGAGAGGAGAAAAAAAAGGAACAGGGAGAGAGCTAAATCGCAAAAAAAAAAAAGTGCCATTTTTGAGCTGGACCCGCACCACGCCACGACCGGCTCCCCGCAGCCCGGCGAGTAATGCGTGTTTAAATGTCACGTACCGGTTCTTGTAAGCGCAATTAACGCCGCCCTGTAGCCATGTTTTGTCTGCAAAAGTTTCTGTGCTGAAGCTCCCAATGACAGCAACAACATTCCAGCTCGGAGTCCCCCTGCCCGCGGTGCATTGTGGGATGCGCGGCGCCCTGCCTCGCACTTGCTCCTCCGGGTTCGTCTCTCTGCGGCAGCTTTCCTGCTCTTGCTGCTCTGCAAGCTTTCGGAAACAAAAAGACACACACACACACGTACACAAAGAGAGAGTGGTGGGGAGGTGGGGGGGGTTTGCACACCCCCCGGTGTGGGCTCAAAAATCCCCCAAAATTAGAAGGCAAGACACTGCAGCAGGCCTCTGAGAGAAGAGATGTGGCCCTTTAGTTAGAGCTCTCAAACGAGGAGTTCAAGTCAGGCCTGGTAGCATTAATATTTTTGAAAAGCCTCTCCTGGGGGTGAGAGCTCTATTTTAGGAAAAATGAATCATACAGCTAGCATCCAGAAATGTGTGATGTGTCCTGATGTCTCCCTGGCCTCTGAATCATGTGTGCAGTCTTCAGGTTTGCTCAATGTACTGTACGTTATATGGTCCAGAAATCCCGCACCGCTGTTGACTGAAGGGGGAACCAGCCACACAGTTGTGTTTAATCTTCGGCTGCTCTGAGTGGTGCAGCAGTCACTTCTTACACCAGGGCATGTCAGCCACAAGGAGTGGCAAACTTCACAACTGCCATTCCAGACTCCCAGTGCTACCACACCCCTCTCTTCTCTTTCATTATTGATGCATGTGGCTGCTGCTTACTGTATATCCAAGACTTTTTTTTAGTATCCATTTACATAGCTGAGGATTTAACTGCAGGAATCTGAGTGAACTAACCTTGCTTATACTGTAGGTACAACAGCAGTGCCTCACCTGAGAATTAAGCTCATTTACATGCAGTTATGTGTCCAGAGATCTAACCAATATTCCACACTGCTGCAGGCCCACGGTTTTTCTTTACTTCTCTACTGATATTTTTCTAAAGCTCTCAGTCAATCCCATACTCTGTTCCCTTTTTTAATCATAATTCACACTGTTACTGTCAAAATGGTATAAATAATCCTCAACGTAACCTGTTAAAAACCAGTCTTGATCAGCTGTTCTTGTTAAAAAAGTTTGGTTGAATCATTCATCTTTTCCAAACGAATGTGTTCTTTTTTTTGTCCATATTTTTAAAGTAGCACCGCCTTGATAATAAATTAGATGCATAGCTCCCAGCAGTTGGAATATGCGGTGTTCTTGATTAGCGGAAACAATCTGCATTATATATAGATTCCAAACAGCTTGATGCACGTTTATTAAGCCCCTGCCTCTGAGCCCCAGCTCTGCCCATCGCACTGCAGAAAGAAGCAAGCTGGTATACTCTTGACTGATGTTATGCCAACAGCAGCCCAGTGCCAAATGTGCTTGGAAGTTTGAGTTCTTTTATCTTAGATCTCATGGGCTGCTGCACCCAGGATGAAAAAAAGTCAAAATGCCTGTTTGGCCCATTTCTCTCACACACTCTGTGATGACATTTAACATGACCAGTTCATGTGGCAGGCTTCCCTGAGCGCTTCGTCCGTCTCTGACAAAGGTACTGCAAAAAAAAAAGCAGGCAGCGCAAACGGTTATGTGCAAATCCATTTACCGCTTTCATTAAAAACAAAGATTTCTGTACGCCATTTGGATTGTAGCAGACTAAAAAAAGCTTTCGTCAGTCTTCAGACAGAGTTATATGGGCAAGGGGAGGGGAGTTTTTAGTTTCCTAATATGCTAAAAGGCCTAGTTTTTATGAAACCTTGGCTCTTAGGATTTTTAAGGTGATATTGTGGGGACTGTAGGTCTGAGGTATGATTTATTATTCATTATACCGATGTTTTGTAGATGCTTATGTATTAATCAGCAAAAATTCTTCTTCCAAATAAATATGCCAGTGTTCAGAATGACCAACAGTGATTACAGTTTTACCTCTGCTGCTGTGTGTACTCTGATATTGAATTAACAGAAAGATTAAGTGCTTGAATCCAAATGTAAATTTCACCCATCTGTTCATTCGTGGTGTACTTTATACTTCTTTAAATCAAGGGATTTGTGGGTACTGCTTGTGTTCAGAAATGCAGCGGCTGGTCTACAAGAATCAGGACATTGTAGCAGTGAAGTTTCAAGGATTTTGAATGTGTTGCAGCAGGAACACCAACCTGACACCAGATTTTGTCACATTGTCAGAAGCTTAACAAGACGGAGAGAAGCTGGCAGTTGGATGGGAGACAGGAGTCAGGTTGCTGTCTAGATCAGAAATCCCGACCACTGTGATATCAGGGGCACTGTGCTATTGAAGGAAACAACTTTATTCGTGAACTAAAATATTGTTGAGAAAAGAGGCATTTGCATATTGCAGAAATGGAAATTCTCAGAAGTAGTGGACAGAAAAAAAGAAACTCCTGGCTACACGAGGGGCTGTATATTGAAAGCAAGTTCTTCTGCAGAGCTGGGACCCATGCATTAATTAAACAAATAATATCTCAGCATGCTTAGGTCACCTAGAAAATACTAGACAAGCCTCTTCCGTGGCTGTAAGAGGAAACCTCAGTGACTTTGAAAGAGGGCTGATTGGTAGAGTGCAGGAGCAGGAGCTTCAGTGACCAAGACAGTTGAATTTGCTGAAGTTTCTCTCATCAGCCAAGAGCAGCAACAATGGGAGGGCGCACATACTCCAGCCTCGTGACATCCCTGCATTCATTGGAAGTGCAAGGCAATACAGGCGAGTGACTGTAGATCAATTGGAAGTCAATGTCAATCTGTAAATGTGAACCTGGGACATGAGCAGTTACCAGTAAGGGGTAAGCTTGCAGTGATCGAGCCGCTCATCACACATACTATGCGTATTTGCTATTCGTGTGATGCAAAGAGCTCAGGCAGCAGACTGTTGAGCAGTGAGCATGTTTTTGACAAAAGGATGAGTGCATGGGCACCATTGTTGCAATTGTTGCAGCATTTCTCCCCTGCCTGGAGGGATGTCTTCCAGGATGACAGTACCCTCATCCACACGTGGTCACCCAGGGGTTTGGTGAGTCTGATGCTGATGTTATTCATAAGTCATAGGGCCTTCTCACTCCCTAGATCTGAACGTAGCAGAGCATTTATTGGAGACAGTGTTTTCCTCCTTCATCAACCAGGCATGAGCTGCATGACTTTCTCATGGAAGAATGGTCCAACATCCCTCCTGCAGAATTCCAGATGCTGGTAGACTCTTTGCAACGGCACATGCAGGCCATAAAGGTCCCACAACTCTTCACTGACTGAAGAGTGTTTCTTCTTCCATCTGTGGAAACCTATTTGTTAACTCCAGAAGTGTTCCAAAACCTAACCCACCAGTGGGTGTCCTCACTGTGGCATCTTGTTTAAATATGTGCTAAAATAAAATGTAGGCCTATAGAAACCAGAAAGATGGGATGCATTGCACCCTGCCTGGTCGCTGAGGACTGTGTTTCTCATTTGTCAGTTCTTCCAGATCAATGGGTAACCTTTCAGCTCTATAAATTTTCATTAATGTACATCTAAACACTGTAGCCTCTACTGCAGTTAAAATGTCTCTGGCATATGGCCTTGACTAAACCACATATTACCTATAAAATACATTCTATCCATCATCACACCCAGTGCACACTCTTGCCATGTGGCTCACAGACAGCAGGTCAACCCAACATCTGTGGTGCTGATACGAATGGGAGGACAGGGCAGGCTTCTGGATGAGACACGGCTGGGGACACTGGAGCCATCAGAGCAACAATACTCCTTGCTCACTGCTACAAGAGCCAACCTCACTGCTGGGACTCAAACCTACAACCTCCAGCTCCAGGTAGGAGTCCAGGACTCTGAGCTGCCCCTTCTTAAATGATGATTTTTGATTCAGTTCAGATGAGGACACATCCAGATAAAGAGAGCTGGAGCAAAATCTTACAGATGCATATTAAAATTATTTTCAAGTTGAAAGTTATCAAATCAGAAACATTTGTAGTGAGTAGTTTTGTTTCCAAAATCAGTTTGTTTCTTCCCTTTCCAACTACTTTCAGGGATACCCAGTTCTGGTCCTGGAATTGTCCTCATTTTGGTCCTGTTGACCCAGTAACCAACTGGTTTGGTTTGTGAAGAACCGAGATAGAATGAAAATTCGTCCTATATATAATGCAGATTATACAATGCATGCAATTTGCACGTGTGAACACAAGAGGGCAGCATTTACAAAGATATTTATTAATGTTACCAACTATGGTGTTCTAACAAAGCTTATATTTTGATGAACAGGCAGTTTATAAACAGGTAGAGCAAGTACATTCTAAAAATATAACTTCAGTATTATATTTAAGTTTTAAAGAAGTAATCTTAAATTTAAAGGCACTGAAATGTTGCTGAATCATTAAAGCTTCTCTCATTCCATCCATTCTGTTGTGATGTAGTTTTAAATCACAGTCCACGACCAACAGTACCACATCAAAAAAAAATACATGATATAGGTTAGACCACTAAGTATTTCAAGATGTCCGGTGAAATTTGAGATACCAATTTTCTGCATTTTCAATTCTTAATAGACCTCTCCATAAAATCCTGTTTGGCATAAGAACAATTTCACTGCTTTACTGCTATTTGTGTCTGTTTATTTCGCAAGATACACTATACTTTCCTTAAATATGCAGGCATTATATGATACTTTGTTTAAAATATATGTGAAACATGGTCTGCATTTTTAAAAGCATTGGATGAGCCAAATGAACACATGAAGCCACCTACAGAAATTACGACAGATCTTACTGGCACATTAAGCAGGGATAGCACCTGCTGTCCGATTACTGCAGCTTGATCTCTGTATGAGGGAACCACCCCTTCAGTAAGTTAAGACAGTTCCATGCCTGGAAAGTCTCTTACTTTCAGCTACCAGCTTGGATGTGAAATCAAACTTATTTTGTCCTCCTACAACAAGCCTTTCCTACAAAGCATGAAAGCTCAGTCTGAAAGTGATCACTTAGGAAAAACAAATCTTTATCGCACCTTTTGATTATATTATTCAAATGGGAACAAAAAACACAATAATGTTGTTTTAGAAATCGAGAGACTGACTTTACTGGTCCGATGATCAATAGATAATTAGTCATTATATAACACTAACAGTTACATTAGTGTTAATTAGCCTCTGTAAAACCACAGATAAGTGTTTATATTGCTTTTGCCCTATTTAAGTACAAGCACAGCACAAAGGTTCTTTTTACAGTTTCTATTCATTTACATGCTACATTGACATTTCTCTGCATGTTGCTTTGTTTGCATCATGGTGTCTGGAAACATGCAAGGAAATTTTCCACAGGGCAACTTCAGCCTTGCGAGATCAAATGTTTCTGGGAAGAGACGTGGCAGTCGAGAACTGTATTACAGCCCACAAGTTTAAAAGAAGCAATTAATATTACATTGTGTAACACTGACCCTAGAAAAAGACATTTGTTTTGTTTTTGGAATATAAGAGGCTTATAGCAAAGTTACTCAAAACATTATGGGCTACACATGTCAAGGACTGCTAAATAATATTTTTTTACTTTTGAATGCTCCTTTCCATCACTCATCTCTTCAGTACAAATACCATGCACATATTGGTTTAATTTGACCATTTAGATGTCAAGACATGTAAAGCATACCCAGAAATGTTGAGCATCTCTCAAAGCCCTGTCTTAAACAAATTGCACATCTTTACTGGAGTTGATTCAGGGGGTAGATTATAGTTTGTGATTTCATGTTACATATTATAAAACTACATACATCTCACAACTGCTTCGGTGACCACTGAGAAGATTAATTTTCTTGCAATGGTTGTTTGGCACTGCTGGCCTGTGTTTTAATATTAGCCTTCAAACATACAGTATATTCAGGGCTATACAATGCATGTTCTGTTCTTTTGCTAAAGACACATTCACTTGTAGCATAAGCAATTTACTTTACAAGTCATTCAAACAGTATTTGGCTGGCTATGCTACATTTGAAAAATATTACTCTCACAGGGGATATAAAAGAATCATGATTCACGAGTGAAATGCATTGTTAACGATAATGTGATTACCTCTGCTTCCACAACCTTTCCTAAATTATACATACAACATCCACAGGCTATACTGAAAACAAAACATCGGACTTGTACATTTATACACGCGCACACAAACAAGCTAACATCTGTATATCCACCTAGAAATAGCTATATGGAGCCTCATAGTGGCATTGTTTAGCTTTCTAACTCTATGACACAAACATGAGGATTTAACACAGGAGAGCATCTGTCAAGTACTGTATGACGTGTGGCTGCCAGACGTTGAACCTGCAGTTCAGTTGTTGGTATTGTTACAACACTGATATACGGTCTACTCAGTGGAGTACAGCAGCCCTTTGTACATGAGATATACATACCCCAGCCTGTCCTGTGTTCTCATTACTGCACCCAGCTTGTCAAATCACCCACACGCACAGCCTTGCAAGAACAGGAAACGTGCTGATGGAGTTTACTGTTGGAGACTCAACAACTGAGTTTTGTCAACTGCCAATGGCAGCTCCTCCAACTACAGAACCCGTGGCACGGTGAGACACATTTGATATTTCTTTATTATGTTGCGAAAACACTGAGCAATGAGGACCCTTGAACATCCCCCACTGCAGGCAGTACACAGCAGTCTGTCTTACTCAGCCACGCCCTGACACACTGTACCCCTTCCCCTGCCTGGACAGCAACACCAGCACCGTGTCCAATCTCCAGGTTTAGAACAGAAGAAAGGTTCCCATTTATCCATCTGGTAGTAAGTTCTTGAAGGAAGCCAAAATCTCACTTTCAGCCACCAAGCCAGGTGGCTTGTTCCCGCAGCCCTTTTGGTAAAGACACCCTAGCCTTTTGGTGGTTAAACCGTCAGGACAATAGCTGATGCCAAATCGTTTGATCAAGAGGGCTTACCTTTGGAAATCTCACATCTCATGTCTTTCCTTTCTATTTAGAAATGAGCGACATTGAAAGAGAACTGACACATATTCACTGATGTTCTACATGTAGTCGTTACCCGCGTTTAATAATAAAGGACACACATTTTGTGCAACTCTTTTATTATTATTCACTGCGATCTTTGAGAGTATAGATATAAATTCAATCATATTGTACATTATAAAATCAATTAGGATTTTCATTAGCCGTTTTGGCACATTATTAGAATGCTGCTCTGTACAAATATTTTCCCTTGTCAAATGTACTAAATGGTTCCGTCTTTCCTGATAAACTCCAGCGGAAAATGAATCTAGATTAGAATTTAACTGGGTTGGAGGTAAAGGAAACAATATGTCTCATACATTTGAAGGCAACGCTTACTTTGTGAAATTAACTTGTCAGTGTGATCTGGTATCCTGCAATTTACAGTGTTATTTTTGGCAAGTAGGCAATTTTAAGTTTCTTACCAGTATACACCCGCACATACAGATAATTTAATTTTTGTATATGAAATGAAGGGCTCAACAGTATGTGTTAGCTAAGGACTGCAGGCCTAACAGACAGCAACATTACGGCAGATCCTTTAACAGGGAAATTCCCAGGTCAACAGGCCGTCTTCAATCCTTATTTCCACTAACTCAGGTTGAGGGAATAGTGAAGACTCATTTTTAAACTTCTTCTAGCAACAGCTTTGTATAACTGTGTCTTCTCTCCATGTATAACCTTATAAATATACACATACTCTATTGCAACTCATAATATTGTATCCAGTGAGAAAGGTTCACCGGTACACTATTTATCCAGTTCATTTTAAGTAACTCTAGGCTTTAGATGTGCTCATGGACATCCTGTGCTTGGAAAATAAGAGGGGAAGACTTTCTTCAATGTGATATCCAATGTGTTTGGCAAAAGCTCTATAAGGGTGCGGATGTTAATTACAAGGGTGAAAATACTGTAATATATTTCAGAACTAGGAATAAAACATTATGAACTGACAAAACCTTATACCTTAAGAATTAAAGAAAATTACTTTGACTTACATTCCTGACTTACATCTTGTAAACCTTTAAAATATATTCATGTTGGTAAAGCTAAATTATTTTTAAGAGAAAAGGTTTCTTAGGTGTAGCCAAATTATCTCAAATCTAATATAAACACTTGTATTTCTTCAAGTAGTTTGTTATGCTGTACATGTTTTCTGGTTTTATGCTACAGTAATCAGCAAAGAGTCTCTTTTGAAAGGACTACAGTAAATCTAGGATTAAAACTTGGCATTCATGTAGCCCACCTTCATTTGAAGAAAAGTAAAAGTCTCTTATATAAATGTCAGTATTTAAATGCAATCTGAAAAATGCACTTCTAAGGTAAAAAAAAAACCTTCAGGTCCACAAAGAAAAAATATTAGAAACAAATTGTCTTCTAAGTGGATTCAGAAACATAGTGGAAGAAGTGGCAATTTTAGAATAATTTAAAAAATTACCAAAAGGAAACTTGCGAGTCCACATGGAAATCATTTAAGACACGAAATGTAGACAAATTTCATGGTGCCACAGGGATCGTTTAACCAATTAATGTTTCTTTTTGATTTTATGAAAACAATTATGCTTACAGTAAAAACATTATTTTGTGCCATTGTATATGAAATTGTGGGTGACCATAAACACAGATTTCCAGGCATCCAGTAGACAAGTTCCTAAGAGTGTCTGTCCATGCTGAGTTATGTAGTGTCTCCTGTTCTTGCTGTTGTGCTTTGCTTGTGGGGGTTGTTAGCTCTTATTTGGAATGAAATTCACATCTTGCTGAAACACTCTTTAGCATTGGTCCACACTTGAATTCCCTAAAAAGAAAAAGAATAATTATTTTTTTAAAACTAGCAGCCATAAAACCAGAAGTACCTTATAAGTTCATAAACGTTAATAAGATGGCAACTGTAAATACATTTGGTTACATTTCTCAAAATAGGGAGGCAAAGGCTTTCAGATGTTGCCAAGTGAAAAGAACAGGCTGGACACACTGAAGAGCAGCAGACCTCAATCAAATATCACACTAAGTGTCTGTCTTTAAAAATAGTCATTTGAGATTTTTATTAATATGGACTTGAATGTTTAAAGAAGCATTCTTTACTTGCAAGACAACATTCTTGAGTTAAAGTAGCATATTATTTCAGATTTTAGCAACCTGAAAGTAGTGGTTTCCACTGAAAAAAATAACCCCTGGGGAACAAACCAACAAGAACCAAATTATTTCCTGTATCACTAGAAGTCTTGTGCTGTCTGTAAGAAAAGACAGTTTAATGTATTTGGTCAATGTTTTTACAGGAATTCCCTTATTCCACACACTTCGAATCAAACTAAACAGCTTTCTGTTTTATACAGCTTTCTGTGCACAGAAGCAGTTATTTGACAGGGCTCACCTGGTCTGATACAACCGTTGAAAGATTTGAACTCGTACGCATTCAGCATGAGAAAAACAGCACACATTCAAACAACCACACTTTGTGTGGCAGGAAAGCACCACTGACACGGATACAAAATTGAGTTCACCGACATAATAAAATGCCAGATTCCCCAAATAAAACCATCACTACTCAAGTTTTTCACCTCTTACAGGCTATGAAATTAGCAGCTCGGTTAGTATCCTGAGGCCAGTTGCGACTTGACACTTAAATACCTTAAGTTCTAAATGTATCTAATAAAGTTACATTTTAAACTTACAGTGTTTTCTGCATACAGTCCCTGGGTCCTCATTTACAACACCACCAAAACGCATTGCAGCACTATCCAACATTACAATGTGATTATTTTAAGAGACCTTTAATGTGACACATGAATACAGTACTGTACCACGAAGATAAATGTAAATGTATTTACTGCTAGTAATGAATCAGAATTTCTGCTACGAGTCAAAGTCTGGACTCTCGAGCAGAGGACCGCTGGTTCAAATCCAAATGGATATCTTTAAGCGAGGCAGTTCACTTAGATTGATCCAGTAAAAACCCTGCTGCTGAAATGGGTCTTCAAATTGTTACTGCAAATGATAAATTGTTCTCAAGTGATTTAAAAAAAAAACCATCAAACTCAAAAAACTTTAAATGAGTTTACACTCTGCAGGTAAATGTAGAACCATAACAGATGTCTTTCCCTGGTATAAAGTGTGCCGCAACTCAGTAGTAGTACATTCACACTAGCATTGTTTTGACTTTCCTTTTTACAACCAGGTGCACAACTCCAGATATTTTCTTTGACAGCATGATGAAATCCATGGGTCATGTACTATTTTTTTAATGTAGAATAATGATACCCATTTCATTGGCACCGATTTCATTTTATTCAGCATTGAAGAGGTTTTATCAGAGTCAATAAGTTAAGACAAAAAGTCCTACATGTATATTAGAGTTCTTTTGGTTGGCTGGTCTGACTACAGATCCATGCTGAGGTGTTGTGTTGGGTTTGGCTGAATTCCCTGTCCTGGCATCACTTGGACTTTCCTATCTGGACTGTGTATATGGAGCTCTTAACTGCTAGGATCCATGGTGCTGGTGTTTGTGTATGTGTTTCTTGTGTTTTGTGTACAAAATGTTAAAAAAAGATCACAAACAAAACTGCACTGGGAAGGGGACACACTCAAGTGGAAAATAAATATTATACTTTTGAGGTGTTTATCTACTGCTTATTGGATAAACACCAATTTCATTTAACTCGGCATTCAGGGTGTTTAATCAGAGTCCTAAATGTATATCAATTAGGAAGCCCCATGCAATCAAATTTCAGTGTAATTCAATTACAGTAAAATAAAGGACTTTAGAAACTGAAATGGACATATGGTATACCATTCTAAAATGGATTATTTTTAGAATTTATTTTTTAAATTTAGAACACAATCATTTTTAAATTTAAGAATTTATTTGATTTAAGTGAAGTTAAAAACAAAAATGTAGTTTTGGCTTTAATAATGTTGAAAACTACAACTGATAGCAAGTAGAAAATGAGACACAACAACATTATGAATAAAAAACATTCTTTTCAGATGTCCCTAAGTAATCACACTGAAAAGTTATACTATTTGAAATCTTTCTACAACTGCAGTGCTAAAAAAATTTCCACTGCAGAAAGACCTCTTTTCATTCACTTCCAATTACCGGTCGTTAAACTAAAACCTGAAATGTGATCTTTTTTGCTAACTAATTACAGCAGTGTACATTCAATTTGTAATATTTAACTGGAGCCAGTCCAGACCTCTCTGAATTCCTGTTACAATTAATCCCACTTCAATTACGTGTCTGCTGTTACACATTGTTTCTACACAATTAGGTTTGCTGCAAATTAAAACTTCTCCACTACTTCTTTCAGTGAGACCCATGTGTACCAATTCCTGAAAAACGTTTTTTTTACATATATATATCTAGAATATAGCACTAGAAAAATATAATGCCAGAAAATATGAATATATAAGAAAAGTCTTAGTCGCTTTTGTACAGAAATTCTGACAGGAGTGACTGTAGTTCTAAATGATTATTCTTCCTCCCACAAGCAAGTTTTAAAGATCGGCAACCTTTAGTTAAAAAGGAGTCATTTTTGAGTGGTAAAATATTGTAATGTATTGTTAGATCAATGGACAGCTTTCTTCCAGCTTCCCAATATATCATTATGGACAGTTCATTGTATTTATTAGACATTTTCAAAAGACCAAAGTACTGTCCAATAATACGTATACTGTTTGAAACAAACAGCAGCAGTGTTATAAATGTCAATTTGGCGGTTGCATATATTCAGTGTCTTTTTTTATTTGTACTCATTTGTACAGCTGGGAATTTTACTGGTTGTAGTGTACTGGTTACACATAAGTGAAGCTCTGAAGTTCCCTAACCCACCGCTCACAGTCACAGAGCCTCTAATGTACTGCAGGTAGGGGTGTTTGCTGATGATGTGCACCTGCACATGAGAAGGCTCTCTGGCAGAATCGGAAGACCTGAACAAGAAGTGTCAACTCTGCATTAATTTGGAGTTGGACAGTACCGTGCCATATATCATAAATAAAATAGTTCCTTATAGGACAGGAGTACCTTAAAACCATTCTAGATTTTACAGGGAGCCAATGCAATTCATACAAAACAGGATTTTCAAACTGAGGCAGAGTAGCTGTAATTAGAAGCAGAATTCTGGACATGATGAACCCTGTTTAGTGCAATAGTAGATGCCCCAGCAAGGATTGAAAACAGTATAATCTTGATTAAATAAAGGCATGTAGCAATTTTTCAGGATGAGGCAGACAAAGAAAGAACCATGGCCTAGCAGGGTTATGTAGATGGTAAACTAATCAGTGCAGCAGAGCCTGTAAAGCTATTTTACATAATGTGGCTGACAGTGAATATAGATGCAAAAAAACAAGTAATAGGTTTTTTCCAAGCTGAAAAAAAGAAGAAAGAAAACACAACGTTTCGGCCGTGGAGCCTTCTTCAGCCATGGCCAAAACGTTGTGTTTTCTTTCTTTTTTCAGCAGGAATAAACCTATTCCTTGTTCCTTTGCAGCCTACGCATGCTGACACAGCTGCCCACCTGAACTACTACAGTGAATATAGATGTTAACCTGAATATGAACACAAACCCGGAAGACTTTCCAGTAAGGATGGACTTGATATTAATGCTGAAAACATACATTAAACTGAAACTCATTTCAGATACGTTTTACAAAAAATCTGATTTTTAAATGTACTGTCCTGTCTCATTTTTTCCCCCACTTTAAACAGTAGGGTGCTCAAATTCGAAATCTTTTTTTGAACGTTTTGCAGTTATGGGTAAAGTGCTGAACTTTGTGTTATCTCCTTACCTAACATCAGAAATATTTAACAACCAAATGTTCAGGGAGGAAGGGAAATGCGGACCTTTTGACAGCGAGAGGGTGAGGCTGGGAAAAGGGAGAGGACTGTTTATTATTGCTCAGTGATCAAAGGAAGCAGAAGCTGGAGTTTAAAAAGATTACTCCTCGCCATTTCGGCTGTGCGATTCTGCACTGAGCTAGAGCTCACTCACCAACATCACGCTCTTCAGCATTTTTATGTTTTAGCTGCTTTGAGCTAAACCGATGCCTGTGAATGATGAAAAAAGTAAAGCTCTGAGGAAGCTGAACTGCCTGTCTCAATGCACACTGCTTACATTCCTCACTTTTCAAATGGCTTTTTTCTGCATACTGTGTATTTTATATATACACACCAGTAGAACAGTGGAAACTTATCTTACATCCTAGCCTGAAAGCCATATTCCCTTACAGTTGTGCGTGACAGGCTGCTGTGTGCTGGTTTAGGCTGATCTGATAACTCTGAAGTAATGCAGTCCCATGCTGCCAGATCATTTCATACCCGGTACTGGACAACCTCTGCTGCAATCGCCAAAGGTGTAACAAAAACACACAATTATTACGCTGGATAAGAGCCAACGAGTCAATCATGCCCAGAGTACTTCCTCTGAGCTTGTCCTGCAAAAATAATTGCTTCAACAACAGACTGGAAAATCACACTTAGAAAATAGCTACTTATACGTCTTTGATTAACAAGACAAAGGTTTAAAGCATTACCTTGAAAAAAATTACCCCGAGCAGACAAACTTTTTTGTTTCTTACAAAAAAATTGCTTACTGTTACTTGCTTTTATTTGTCATTTGAAAATCTATACCAAAAGATTCAGTCTCTATATTTATATGGTTCAGGTGGGTAGCTGTGTCAGCATGCGTAGGCTGCAAAGGAACAAGTAATAGGTTTATTCCATGCTGAAAAGATAAGAAAGAAAACACAATGTTTCAGCTGTGGAGCCTTCTTCGGGTGCTCACATGTAAATAGTATGTGTAAAAATATATTTATGTATGTATATAGGATTCCTGTCGTGTTTGAAAAACCAAACTGTATTCTGAATAGCTATTCGATGCTCACAGAAACAGGGAAACAAGGTTTCCCAACAATTTACAATTTAGCCTGGTTTTTTTATGACCGTATCCCAATCACATGATATGAGACACACCAACAGTTAATAAATTAATAAAATGAAAAGCAAATGGAAGATTGGAGGCATCAATGCCAGCATGCAGCAAGAATAAAGACAATCGAGTGGATTTCTCTCCTGCTGCTTCTCTTCCTGAATTTTTTTTGTTACTGCTGATGTGCCATAAATCATACACTCAACAACTTTACAAACTATGACGCTGGACATTTTCTTTTTTTCTCACCTCCATACTTGTGTATTTTTTATTGCTATGTGCATATGGGTATTAAGTTCAACTGTGAAAGAAACACCACTTACACAAGAATGAAAGGATTAATCGGAATAGCTCTTCTGATACTTGGGAGTATTTTCACTATACTGTAATACAATGTGCATTCAGAACATTGATTGCATGTAAATGCAGTGTTTCATAGTTTTAGTAATAAGGTCATCCATGTTGTCTCAAACAATTTTTAAACTGAGGTACTTTGATACATGCATTCAGTCGTTAAAGTATAAATATATACAATATATATCCTGTAAGCTGAATGTTAGATAAATTCAATCGTTTTATGTTTTACTGTTAAGGAAGTTGTTTTTAAGTTTAGAAGAGTGTGCTTTTCAAGTTCTGTTTCTAAATGCAACATTTAATACCAATTTATTAATCCCTGCTAGAGGCATATTGATAAAAGGTTTCGGAGTTCATTACAACTATAAACAAATTCTAAAGATCTGATCTGAGGCACAATTACAAAAGAGAACTTTTCATACAGTTATATGAAACAGTAAAAGATGACTTGATCTTTTACTGTAGAAGTTTATTTCAATGGTTTGTAAACTGCAAAGAGCAGATTCAACCAGAAATTGTAAAGAAATGCCAGAATTTATTGAAGGATATACAGTACCAAGTTTAATTCTCAGCCCCGATGAAAACAATGTAAGTAAAGAGATTCATGATTTTGATGTATTGTTTTGAACTCTTTAACATGAGATCATAAATCTTGGGTTCAAGCTGCTGAATTGATAAATACACACTGAGCAAAGGCACACCATGGTTGCCAGAATAAATAGTGAATGTTAAAACATTCCATGCAGTTTCAGAAAAAGTGACAAGCTACTATAACCCAGATCAATGCACATGGAAATTGTGCTTGCAAACAGCTCCTTTGCAAAGGTTTAATGATCAGAACAGAAATGGAAGGACACCGACTTTAAAAAGCTAAGAAGTTTTAATAATGAAATGCCACTGATAAAAATGCACGACAACAGTTTTTCAGTTCAGAGGAAGAACAACCTCTGTTAAAACACTACTGGTTATGTCAATACAATACATTTGCACTTGAAAACAAGCACAAAATCAGACCTTCAGAAATTAAAACTGCAAAACAGCATTAGAGCACTCACCTTTTTGCACATGCTTATCTGCATTACAGCATAGCTGATAATGGCCTCCTTCAAGTCCTGATTTTTCTGTTCTTTAAATCGGTCAATGTCTAACCAAGCATTCTTGACATATTCACTGGTTTAAAAGAAAAAAGACAATACATACAATCAGGCACTGTCACAAATGTTAACACTTAAGGGAGATATATTAACACTCGTTGCTGCTTCAGTTACACAAGCTGGATGTGTTTCCTGCTACAAATACAAATTAATAGACAAATAAGACTGAAAGCGAACTAAATCCAAGTTATATATTACTTAGATTAAAGACAAAACCTCAGATATGTCAAGACTCCTGCAACTTGACATATCTGAGGTTTTGTGTGCTTCTAGATTTACTCATACCCATTGTCTTATTCCTTTGATGTCATCTGTATGAATGTGGCATTTCTGACCAGATACAAAAAAGGAACCTCTCCTGAGACCAAATCATGTGAAGAGGTGACTCCGATTTTCCAAATGACAATTAGAATCATGTCTTCTGGTTGGATGAAATTAAAATCTCATCTGGGAAGTACCAGAAGCTCATACCACAGCACAGGGGGTGTTTTGAGGGTGCAAACCCTGCCAATTGAGGATTTACAAGCTACAGTGGTGTTTACAGATGGTTCCTGGACTACAGTTATTTGCGACTACTAAAATTTAGCTCGGTGCAATTACACTACAACATTTTAAAAATATTTTTAAGAAAGCTTTTTCAATCCTTCAATTCTTTGTTATATGATTTATTTTTATTTGTTCCCATTTCATTGGGGATATTAATAAATCTGGAGAGCATTATATATTATTACCGAATCAAGAGGAGGAAAGCCAAGGGATTTCCTTGGTCCTTTGGACTTTGTAGTAACTCTACAAAAGACAGACCGTGCCATAACTAGACAAAAAGGTTCAAGACCCTATCACAGTTATTCTGAATCAAAGAAACTCGTGGGAATAACAAGTGGAGCTCAATGAAGGTTTTGGAAAAATAATGAATCGGGAAACTGTAGCACTTCACAGCTGTAGAGCATATGGTCAGTTAACAATTTCCCATAAACATTTACATCGCAGGCCAATCTGTACTGCTTTTAGCATAATTTATAGGGTGAGAGTGTTTTTCACTTGCAGATGAATGGACCTGGTGCAAATGGAATCTAGCAAGTAAGACAAGTTGAAGGGCTTAGGGGAAAAAAAAATCATCCAAGTCATGGACTTGCATGTAGTGGACAAAAAAATGGAAACACCTGGGTAAATTGAGGGATACTAGCACAGTATATGGAAACCAAGGGCTTTCACACAGGTGTGGCTCATATTATTAAAGACTAATATGGACATAAAATGCTGGAAGGGCCTGGTTGGCCATAATTATGGTCAGCAAGGCTGCCTGAGCACACCCCAGTACAGTACAGCGAGTACAGTAGTGTAAAGAGCACAGGCCATGGACTACCGAGCAATGGAGAAATGCTCAGATGAATTATCCTTCACAAAGCTCTTGACCAATGGATAATTATAAGTGTGGCGACAGTCTAAAGTATTCTACTAAAAATGTTACTCTTCTATATACAGTACAGTATAACAATTAACAGTCCGATGTACGGTATTTCTATTGATTAATCTGTTTTTGTAATTTACAGCAAATGCTTAAGAGTCTGGTTCACTGAACTGTTTATGAAGTTTGAATCAGCGCTTCAAGTTTGAATAGCAGCCCAGTCCATGTTTCACAATTCTGCAAAGACTGGAGACTCTGAGCATGAGAATGAGTTAACCTATTTGTGTATTTTTACAAAGTACTCATAAATACTTATAAATAACAAATTCTTCCAGACCACCTTGTTGCTGACTTGTTGGATTTTCTAAGTGTCTGTGCACATGACACATCAATCCACTTGGGTCCATGATATGGACAATACTGAACTACCTAATTAGACTTATTTTTCCAACACTTGGAATTTCCATCAGATAATTCATTTTCTTACTCGCATTCGGAATTTTTGGACTTCACAGATTCCTCCCCCTCAAGTATCTGCTCTTCTAAAACTTTCAGCTTAGCTTCCCTCTGTTCCGGAGTCTCCTGTCCGAAAAGCTTGCTGGTCATTCCTTTCAACGAGAACGTTCTTACAGTCTGCGGACACACAAGATTTTCGTCCATTAATTAGGATTTGTTTTGCAGTCTGAAACTGGTGGTTTTGTTTTAAGTCAAGTACATTCGAGAAATCAGTTTAAAAAAACTATTTGGACAGCTTCTGAAACAGATCTTGGCCCTCTCTTCTCCTATTTCAGTAAACATCTCCATAAACTTATCACCAAGCACTGCAGGTCTGGCCTCTCACTTAATTCTGAGCTATTAAAGAAACGTTTATAAAGGCAGCATAAATCATTGTGTTAGTGAATGCTTGAAATGGATGGCAATCTACGGCTAACACACAACAAAGCAGCATTCCTCCTCCGCTAATCCGTCAGTGTGCCGTTTTGCAGAGAGCTGTTCATTTTTCATTGTTTATGTAACTCAACTCTCCACGTCTAGTAGAAGGACAAGCTAATGTGAAAACCGAAAGACCCACTCCAGTTGCCAGCTCTTCCCGCTGCAGTTTCTTGGAGGTTAGATCCTGAACAGCCATCTCCAGCTCGTACTGCGTTAGTTCATGTTTCCTGCAGACCGCCCTGCAGCGAGAGAACAGGCACGTCACAGTGAGACAGGCATTGCTTAAAGCGCAAAATCCTCACACTTCAAAGCAGATGAAGGTCCTGAAGAAAAAAAAAAGACATCAGGTTCTCCAAGCAAAGCTGCAGTGAAGTAAGAAAAGAACATGCTCTAAATATAAGCCACCACCACCGAGCACTCCAGTGCTCCTCAGACCTGCTCAGTTGGGCTTTAAACATCTTCAGCCTTTCCCAGCCCGCCAAGTCATTTAACCTAATCAGCACCGCTACTGACAGGCATAACATTAATTTCAAACAAAATCAGAGACACTGATTTTAATGAGGAACATCTGATTTTGTTGTTTTTTTTACTAGAATTTCAATCTGAAAGGGGAGCTTGTTTAAACGAGCAATATTGACTATTCGGCTCAGTTAGGGAAAGTGTGTCCATACTTCTTAATCACAATCTCTTCTGATTCCATGGCACACCTGAGACCTTTCCATGGCATGCAGTCTGGGGAAAGCACTCCGGCACAGGGCCGCAGAGAGCCCTAGTTTGAACAGCGTATGATATTTTCCACTGCTGTCTCTCTTGCCTCGGTTATTTCAGTTCCTGAAAACTCTCTGCAGCCTTCTGGCTGACAGGCAGATACAAAGGCTAATAGATTTAAGGCAGCAACTGAGACAAAATGCTGAACCAGTAAATGATATCGTCTGTTGTATACTCCTCAGAAAAAAAAACATGTGCAGGCCAATGGTTTATGTATAGTTTTTCCATGTATGGTTGTGGCAAGATTTACACAGCTTTACCGTCACTGTGTACTCAGGCAACCACCTGCACAGAATTCAGGTAAAAATGTCTCACTTACCGGACAGCTTCAGAATAGAAAAGATATTCTTTTAACTGATCTGCATAGTGTTCCTCCTCTTCTAGAATATCATCCACTGAGGCAGCATATCTACAACAAAGAATCAAGACGCCAGATGGCTGTTTAAAACTGTAGCCAATGTCCTGCAAATGTAAACAGACATCCTAAAGCAGTGTCGTATTCTATATATAGCTCACATATCTTTACATTATGAATATAAACTAGACTGCCCTCTGCAAAAGAGGAAAACCAACAAAAATCATTGACTGCTACTTCTGATCTCCAATATAACAACTTATATAGATCTTTCCTTCTGCATTTGTACTGCAGAAGCTGGAGATTTTATTATCCACCTATATAAATTTAGTTACATGGTGCTTAATTTATACTTTGGCAAACTGTCAAGTCACTAAAAAAGTCATTTTCAATGGTGATTTGCAGCACTTTTGTTAAACTAAGCACAATAATATAAATATATTTCTTTCTTAAAGACACGAACAGCTGTGCAAAAAAAAAAGATAGATTTTCTATTAGTGCTGTAGGATTTCCTGTAAAAGATAAAGTTGTTTTTTATTGCGGGAAACGGAAACCAGCTGTACTACGGTGTGCTTGTTCACAACTGCCAGTAGACCTTGGCAAGATTTTAAATAAATTAACTTTCCACCAGAGTTGGCATTACTAATCTTTCCCATTTACAATTTACATGAACTGGGAGAGCTAGTCCTATTTAGAGCTTGGAATCCTTCTTTAAAAAAATGTAACTAGAGAACTAAATAGTTACACCAGCTGTGTTTTTAAATTTTGCAATCCCTTGGCTAAAAGATTTTCTTTTAAAATAAATGAAAACAAATTAAAAAAACGATAAGATATCTTTATGTAGTCACCTTTTCTACTTTCACACCGAACGTAACAAGGAAGACAAACGTGGTCAAAAAGCTGAAAAGCGCCAGATCTTTGTCATGCTTGCATGCTTAGTGAAAAATTGCTCACTATAGGATTTAAAAGTTACAAGTACCTATTTCATATCAGATTGGTTAACAGAATGTTAAGAGACATTCTAATAACAATATATGGCACTTCTGAAACATGATTAACCAAATAAATTAAGGGGAAACTTTTTAGGGAAGGCAGATTTTGCAAGCCCAGACTGGAATTTAGCTTTGGGGTTCACTCTCACAGAGTTATTGGATTCTTATTGCAAGCAACTAGAGCATCTTATTCAAAAGATGGTATCTCCTGTAGCACAGTGCTCCCAGTCACCAGACTGGGGCACTGGTTTGGAAGCTGTGTTCAAGATGCCACCTTGTGGTCCAGGAAAAACCAACCCTGGTTTCTCTTGTTGGATTCCCATCCCAGTACAGAACAATCCCAGCCTTGCTCAGCTTCTGAGATACAACTTTATGCTGCCCTTTGAAATGAACTTCCTAGCCGTCTCTTCTGTTTTTCCAATAACATGTACTGAAGGCATCATCTGACCTCTAGTTACTCTAGTTACTCTTAGGTTCCTAGTTGCTGCCTGAATAATCTACAGAAACAGCATTTGTTCTGCATTGTCCTGCATTCAGCACCATCTTATGTCTCACTTAAAGTCAATGGTGTTGCTCAAACGTACAGGCTGCGTCTACTTGATTGCATCACTGGCTTTATTTTCTCTAGGTGTTACTTCTAGAGTACTCCAGGCTGATTCAGGGGTTAACTAAGCAGAGTGACACCCAAGGTCCTACACGTTAGGTTTACAACCTTCACGATCACTAATGGGTTATATCCTACTGATTCCTGTACAAACAGCAGCAGAGAATGGGATGCCTGTGAATAAAAAGTGATAAAATTACAGGTTGGCACACAGTCTGGTCCATGAGTGAAGCCAATTAATTTGAATTTTTTTTATGGAGAACGATATGATTCCATTTCCTGGAACTTCCCCTCTTCAAAATGAGCATTTGTAACATTTTTTGTAAGTATAGTCAGCGTGTTGGTACATCAGAATGTTTATAATCACTAACCAACACAGATCCAAGAAAACCTCCTACCGCACACATGCCAAAACCAAGGCAAGTTACAGAGAGCGAGCTGTGCTTTCACAGCAACCCACACACATCCAACACTAAAGAGCAGACAGGATGGCAAAGACGAGTCTGGACAGACAAGTTACACCATCACAGCAAAAGGAAGTTACTTCAACGTGCCGAGTAATTAAGAACACAAGAAAAGGCCAAGAAGACAAGAAGAGGAGGCCATTCGGCCCAACTAGCCCATTTCATTGAAGTAATTTTCTCTATATATTAAAATAACTAAAATGAGCATAGCTATATGACAGTCTAATGAACAGAGGCCGCACAGTCTTTGCTTGTCAAGAGACATTTCAGTGGATGTGAAACACAGTACCTCCCCAGACCTCTTGCGAGCTGTTAGTACGTGTCATTTAGAGACATGCTTGGCGATTTCCTATAATCTTTCACTCGTATCTGTGAAGTCAATGCCACCACAGCGGATACCTGGCCTCAGACGAAGAGTATAGTTTTCTCTGGCCCTTTTTTCTGCATGGCAATCTGGGACTCATCAGCTCTGAAACACAGCCGCTTTCTGTTATGTCACTACTTTTCTTGGCACAGCAGCTGAAGGGGATCTGCTGGCACCTTCCCAATACGCTCTAACAAATTTAACAAAAACTCAAACCTCCCTAAGGTCCAAGCATTCAGCTACTTTTTACACAGGGCTCCTGATTGAAATCTAACCAGGTTTTTTCATCTATCTGGAAAATGTGCTCTAAAGCTTTACATGAAACAAAAAAAGCAGAATCCCGTTGACAGCATCTGGAGTTTATATGCATTCACGGCATACTCACGCGTCCATGTGGTGCCCAGCACTCTGCAGTCCATCCCCCATCTCCCTTTCAATGGCACTCCATTCGCTACCAGCCACATGCAGAGCACAGCAGAACAAGTGTTATTTTTAAAGGGTAAGTAACACAACAGAAATCTGAAATCTATAAACCGGTTTTGCACGAACATGACACACTCGGATGACTCAAAACTTCCTTCATCTTAACTGTGACAAGACTGAAGTCATGCTTATTGGCATCCACCATCAACTTTGTAAAGCCAATCCTTTAACACTGTCTGTGGATGGTACTGTACTTGAACTTCAGTCTAAATTGAAAAACCTTGGGGTGATATTTGATTCAGGCTTAACATTCGATCCGCATGTGCATATTGTTAAAACATCTTTTTTAACCTCAGAAACATCGCTAGACTACTCCCTATGTTATCACTAACTGTGGCTGAAAAGCTGATCAACACATTTGTCTTGTCCTGAATTGGCTACTGTAATGCTCTACTCGCTGGGGTTTCTAAATCCACATTGAACAAACTCCAGTTTGTCAAAAATTTGGCAGCCAGAATCCTGACCAGGTCTAGTGCAAGAGATCACATTACTCCTATCCTGGAGTCCATGCACTGGCTTCCTGTCAAGTTCCGTGTTGACTTCAAAATCCTCATGTTTACCTAAAGGGTCTACATGGCTTGGCACCTCAGTACCTGTCTGAACTATTATCGCCCTACTCCCGACCTCACAACCTTCACTCTTCTAATTCTGGTCTCCTGACTGTCCCCCAAACATATCTACACTCTATGGGTGACAGGGCCTTCTCCTGTTATGCCCCCAAGCTCTGGAATTCTCTCCCCAAGGATATCAGAGTCACCTTCTCTAAACTCCTTCAAATCCAGACTCAAAACCTTCTTCTTTAGAAGAGCTTTTACTGAACTGGTTCCATTCTTCACCCCTCTGCTCCTGCTATACTTAGTATCACCATCTACCGTCTCCTCTGTGTATTCTCATCGTGTTTATCTTGTGTATTTTTTGTTTATTTTTAATTGTTGTTGTTGCTGTTGCTGTTGTCATTCTGTAAAGCGCTCTGAGAGGCCACCTTTAAAGGTGCTATATAAAATAAAGTTTATCATTATAAAACACAATGTGGGAAGGTACACAACATCTTGAATTTACAAAGCAACCTCTCCTCCACTGAAACATTAGGCAGTTGGAAGTTTATTTTCTTTTTATTTTACAAGGAGTTAAAGGCACGAGGCTGGCATGTTTGAAAAGCATATATTTTAGAAAGGCAAAACATACCAAGTGCCAGAATTTTATTGCAGCTAATTAATTAAGGAAACCACACAGGGTAAAAATATTAATTTACAAAGTTTTGGTGCCACGATGGCAGATTCATTTATAGTCTATAGAAATCAGACTACTCTCCCACCTGAAGACTCTTCCATAATTTCCATGCACTTTGTATACACCATACAGACGATCTGCAACTCTCTGGAAATAAAGAAATACAGTATTAGACTCGATTTTTTTCCCTCTCACTGTACATCTTTCAGGAAACAGACTTGATTAGTCCTTTGATTAGCCAGACGAAGGACTCCTGAGAAGGTCTGAACATTACAAATGTCTCAAAAGATCAACTTTACGAAACTATACTGACAGTTTCATTATACTCGTCAGGAAACCTATTCTGTATTTTAAGTCTGGCTGGGCAATCTAAAACAATGCAAATGTTCACTATGACACAGTTTATACTAAGAAAGATGTATTTGTCCAAGTATCCGTATTAGTGGGACAGAAATAAGCTATGCAGCCATATTGCTGAAGCCCTGGCTCCTTTCAAGAAAACTACTACGTACCAAGCATGTGGCTGGGCCAGATGGCCTCCTGTCATTTGTAACCATTCCTATATACTGAGAAAGTAAGGTAAGGTACTGTATAATATTTTAAAGCTGTACAACTGAAATTATACTTGCTGATTGTGAAGTTATACTTGATAATTAACCTACTTTTTGAGCTCCATAAAGCATTCTATACAATGTTTTAATTGATCCCATGATGTAAACTCACAATTAATCTTTACTCTACAGGTGTGAAAACTGTAGTGCGTAAATATTCCTGTCGATCAGAATAACTTACAAAAAAAGAAGTCAATGAAGACTTTAGGCGAGCGTTTCACCTGACCAATAAAACTGCGCTCGCTTTACGGTAACATGTGTGCTAAGTACAGGCCTGAAGAAAACAAAACGCCATTTGTAAATCCATGTACAAAATATGCACAGAATAGAACAATCAAAATTGTACTGATTTTATTAATGATGGTTTGAATTAACATACTGTACTTAGAAGAAAAATTAAATTAGCTTTGATGAAAATCTATTAATCACTCCTGTTCCTCCACAAAGGGAACTAAGCCTAACATGCAACAAAATGTGTCATTAATTTACTTGCAGTTAGCTGTACTTACAGCTCTGACGCGAAGCAGCTGTGATATGACAGACTGTAGTTCATCACTATAGTGTTTCAGTTCTGTAAATCTCCTGGTTATTGGAAAGAAAAACAGCCGTTTGATAGACAGACCAAATAGAGCAACCTCCTGAATTCACTGGAATGTGATCATATTTCAAATACCATTTTAAGATTGTTTTTTTAAAGTTCCACTTAATAGTAATAACCTGCTCTCCATGTACATTTTAAGTGTTAAAAAATTCTACTCCACTCCAAGAATTAGAAAACATGCAGTAAAATATACACTAAACACAATAGTAAGAGATACTGGCCTACAGATTGAGATGTTGTTCTTTAGCAATTGGCTGATTTGTCCAAAGAAACCAAGATACTGTGGAGGGATTAGCCACATCCCGAAAGGCAAGGGGTCATTATATTGGACGCATAAATGCCATCTCTGATCTGACGTGCTATAGTGTCTTTAGTACAAGAAATAACTTGTACATCAGCAAAATAACTATTTTTCCATCTCCATGAAATTGATCTGAATGTGAAGGCTGTTCAGAGGTAATATGTTGACAGCTTAGAGACAAAAACTGAAAACAAAAAAAGTTCACTGTCCCATAGAACACTATCTGTGGTGGCAGCAGAGAGAATGGTGGGTTGTTATATTCATTGATGAATGTCATTTTGCCCTTAACAAGACAGACAGAAGATAAATGTGGAGACACGCGGTGAACATTAAATTAACTTGCATTGTTCGGTGGGGCTGTGAAAGCAAGATGATGTGAGACAGAATGTTCTTTTACACAAGGACTGCACTGCAATGGACTAACAATGTTAGTTAGAATAACAGTTATTCTGTTTCTACATGCCAATCCAGGAGTGTTAACTTTCTAGGAGGATAAGGCAAGATTCCACGATTTTAGGATGACAAGGGCACAACTTCAAGAAAACAACTTAACGATAGTTATTGACCTATAACTATTTGGTGTGGGAGGCTTATTCTCCTATCCGAGTCCAGTAGATCCTCAATAGGATCATTTTGCCTTCAATAGGAAAGATACACAACCTGCTGACTGTAGCTGCACAGGGAGAGTAGCAGAACACACCACAGCAGTCTGTCCAGAGGCTGATAAGGTCCATGAATCAGTGCTGCCAGGATTGTATTAATGCTCATAGAGGTCACACCCGATACTACCAGTGTAATGTATTCATTTTCTTTTGTGCATCAGTATACATTACTATATGCATGACTAATTGATCATTGTTAGGCAAGTATTTGTATCTGCTGGTAAAAAAAACACAGAAAACTTACTTGTCTGGGTTCTTTACCCTGAAAGTGGCATTCAGGGCTTTCAACCTTGAATCTGCCTACAAAACAAAAATCAAGTAGTAAAAGAAATCAGGTAAAAAAGGCTTTAATTACACTATTTTTAGTCAAGTGGCTAAATTAATTTACCATGCAAATGCAGTAGAATGCAATAAAAGTGTGTCTCGTTTACTTTTCCCCACTTTCTAATTTTGCATTTCAGAATTGAAATTTTTGACACATAAACGGAGTTGAAAAGATTATTTGGTCACAAACCACACATTCAATAACTGTTATTTATAGGTGTCATTTGATGGAACAAATTACTCTTGTCTGCCACCTAAACTCATAAGGTCTGGAGCTAAATTCTACAGTAATACCGCTCATTAAATCTTTGATTTTGTAACATGGAATGCAGGTTCCAAAACAACCAAAACTCACAGCACACAAACTTGAAGGCCAACAGATGGAAACAGTTAAGTTACGTGTTCTCAATGCACTTTGTTGTCGGAATAGAACGTATGCTCCAAAGGATTTTACTAGGAAGGAACACCAATCATAGAAATTCAGCACAGGATTGTAGGAAACAATTATGAGAAATTTTATCAAAGGAGAGTTTTCCCCAGAGGTGTTTCACACAAAACCACAATAATTTTAAAACTACACCCTCTGCAGCAAGTTAATTGATACAATTAGATAAAAGCCACAGTGTCTGCATTCAGTATCTCCTAGAGCAAAAAGAAAGCAAACTCTCAGCTGACCTCTCTTTGCACTGTGCTCTCAAGTGCTCACTGTGTGTCCGAGTATGGGAATATTTCCGGTAAGCTCTTAATCATCCTGCGTTTCTTCAATAACAACAAGGGTGCACTGTACTATGTATTCTACTCAGCCTGCCATGTATTGGTGCTTGAGATGTTCTGGTATGCATCACTGTATTTTTAAATATGTTCTTGTGGTTTTCCTAGATCACTCTGTGCCAAACTGGAAATCTGCCAGAAATGGTCAAATGACAAAGAAGTGAATCAGTTCAGTTTCTGTCATCTATACCTGAAAACACTGCTAATGACACAAGTAAATGCATCACATTTTGTAAACACATGTAGGACCAATTAGACTTTGCTTAACAGATTTTCAATTAATTGTGAATTTGCAGTATACAAAGTTGATTTAAAAGTAGCTAAAACAATATTTATCACTAAACTATTAGGAAAACTACATTAAGGATTGAACATATATTGTTTTTGTACAGAGGAAAGATACATTTTATCTATTGTTGATCTGTTCTATAAAAACAATACAATAGCTTCCTAATGCTGTAAATGGGAGATTTATTTTTGTAGTTATGGAAACAATTTACACAAAAGTAACTGGATTACACAAAGGTAGTGCAACATTTTTAAAAACAATGTTTTTCTCTGCCTCTTGTTGACATGGGACCTTGATAAAATCATGAAAACACTCAAAACTAAACTCTGTATTAATCAAGCTCACCGTTTTATTAGACTAATGAAAACTGGTTAAATATACAGTATATATAGGATCAGGGTAACACATCAACACCAAACCAAAATCTAATCATTTTAAGTGTGATCAAAATGTTAATGTAAATCTCTTTGCATCAATAGATATTGTATACAGTGTGGTCACAAGTCAAACTGTTAAACTTTGCATAAACAAACCTACTGCATAACCTATTCACATCAGTGCAACAGTTTGACTGTTACATTAAAAACAATTACAAATTATAACTGGTAATTCTCTTCTTAATTCATCTGTCAAAATCCTGCTACTCACTCATTCCACCATGCTCTGTACAATGAATTGTGAAGCTCAGACCATAGGAAGAATGAGGTGGGTGAAAGCCCAGCACAGATGAGCCATACCTTTTGGAAGATAAGGAACCAAAGAGTTTATATAACACTATCTAAAATAATAAGAAAACGGAACCTAGGCATTTAATTGTGAAGACAGAAGTTAAAAAATGAGGTCTAAACTATATGGTTTGAAAATAAAAATAATTCCTTTAAAATGATGAACCACCACTTCTTTACATCCTCCATCACATATACTGTATATTGGACCTGCATGGTTAAAAACTAATAAACTCCTAGTTTCTGTATTCCGGTGCTTTTCGGGGTGTGGTTTACTTATCACACAAATACATTCACTCCTTAGGTTTAAGTTGGTTTTGATCCCAACAGCATGGAAACTGGTTCCCATAAGAAACAAGAATTTCACATGATGGAATAGCAAATGCACTTGGAATATACAAACAATGAACTGAGGCTCACTCACTAGCATCATGAGGACACGTGGCTCAAGACTGCTGAGCTCACTCAGTGGCAGTGTGGTTTTATGTTAACATCTGCCCGTTGTTCTGTGATTTTGTGGTTGTTTTGAGTGTTAGTAGCTCTTCAAGATGGACGAGAACATGAAAAGTGACAAAGACATATCAAAACCTAATTGCAATAACCTCTAAACTGATGAATGAATTACACAGAATGGCGTGCAAATGGTGGGACTCTGCCCTTAATCATTTGAGTACTGGAACAATTATTAAAGACAATTTCAAGAAAGAAGTCTGGAACACATAAAAGCTTCCAAAGCAATCATTTCGAAATTTTGATACATAACCCATTTGTAAGTGAAGGTACTGTATAGGTATTAGATTTGACAAACAAACTCTTTACACACTGCCTCAACATACAGCATGCCTTCTGTTTCACACGTAGAAGCAGAAATTTCAACATCATCATGTTTTGATAGACTAGTGCTTTACCTGCTAACACTTTCCATCTGTTCTTGTTGCTTTAGCTTAATGAACATGCTCTTTACATCATGGCACGTGTGCTAATTGTGTAGTCAACAGGCTTGTGTGCATCAGATGCCTGCCATAGCTCAATTAAAACAATGATGTTTTAATTTTGTCAAGTGGTTAAATCATTCCAAAGTTCAAATGTGGCATATGTAAAGACAGCTCCACACAGCCAGAATTTATTGCTTTTTCAAAAGGAAGGCAAATCTGTGCCTAGAAATGCCCAACAAGGAGAGAAGGAAATTTATTCTTTTTCCATTGTTTTGAACAGCAGAACAGCTGAGTTGGCATTCTTAGGCCACACAGAGTTCAAAGGTAGTGAACCTCACTGAAATCTTAGAGCTTTGACAAACCCTAGATGCTTCAGGATTTATTAAAGCCATATTTCCCCATTAGCAGACGTATTCGTAGTTGTTTAATCTATAAACACAAAGTGGCTTATTTATAATAGGATAGTGACAGCATGCTGGATTAACACTTTTCATTGACATTGTAAGGTTTATTTGATGAGCGAGTGATGGGTAACACACAGGGTTTCTACACAGCATGTCGAATGGAATGTCATAACAGGAAGACCAAAAAATATCCTGTTTCTGTGGAAACGGGTTCTTGAACAGAACACCAATTCACACCGCAACCTGAATGGACTGGAAACAAAATTATAAATCCTAACAATTCTTATGGAGAAGAAAACATATATTTTATTACACAGTTATAAATCAAGAAAGTGACATCAGCATTACACCATAATCCTAACAAAAAAGTTATTTTAAATCCATTAATATTTTAAAATATTGATCTTTATTTGATTTGCTTTTATATCAGTTAATAAGGATACAAATGTACTCAAAACACTCACACAAAATACTTTATTATTTATACTGGCTGTTAGTTTAAATAAATTCAGTTTAAATAAATAATTAAGTCAATTCATCATTTTATGCACCAGTAGAGAACACTTTTTATGCTGTTTAATAGCTCCGCTGCCAGCATTGTTATCTTCTACAGTTGACTGAAGTAAACACTAAAGCATGTTGTTTAGCTGTGACTTCCTTCAAGAGATTTAAATTAAATAAGGCTGTCTGGTCAACAAGGCACTCTTGAGGACTCACGCCGTCTTGGAAGATTGATGAAAAGGTTAAAACAAGAATAAGAAATACAATACCTTTGCCTGAAATCCTGTCTCGTACACCATGTCCTTCCATCCATTTTCCTACACAAGAAAGACAGTAAGATGTTAAGTTTGTTATTCAATCGCTTCAAAATGTGCTATTCAAACTAGGCTTTTAAAAATCTAGCACATCTGCATGAGTGAAATAGTCTTCAGTGCTTTTAAAATTTGGCAAATAACAATGGAAAATAAACTGGAAAAATAAACACTTTCTGAGAATTACATCAGGAGCTTCTAAAAAGAACTGCTAGAAAATAAAAGTTCCGGATGCATGAAGTACAAGTCAGCAATATAAAGTTACTAGTACTACTGAATGAACAATGTCATTAAAAAACAAAGCTTTTCTAAAACTTTATTCTCCAACACCACATAACTTCGAAAAAAAAACTGCAATCCTTTTATTTAACTAGGTGAGTCAAATGTGAACAAGCTGTTATTTACAACGATGACCTGGACAGATACTCTTTACTGTATTTACTGGATCAATCTGAGTAAGACTGCTCATCCAGACCAAAATTGCACCCTCTGATCCAGAGTCTACAGCTCTTACCGTCTCTCCACATTACTGCCTTATAAAGCTTACCTGTGTCATAAACAGAAAGAAGATCTTATCCTTTGAAAGAACAGTGTGTGAAGCCACGCGAAGCAGGAAATTCTCCAGTCCAATTCTACGTCTTTCCACAAAGTCAGGATCCATGTTATCTGCTGATAATTTGTGCCAAACAAATTCTGCCTGTGGGAGGAATAATGAATGTAGGACGATAAAGGCTTTGCGTACTGTGCAATGAAGTGATGGGAGCAAAAAGGAACTTCATCTTACCCGTTTCTCAGGTAAAGGTGGAACTACAATGTAGGGGTAGGTCACTAACAAGTAGTTCCTCAACAGCTCAAATTCACTATATCTCCTCCACAGCGAGTCTGGGGCTGGGTTTTGTCCTTCTGTAATAGTGTCAACAGGCCTGACAAGAATAGAGAAGGAAGCATGAGTGAAGTCAACCACTTTAAAGTCTCATCCTTTCTTTAATTTTCAAATACCAGCAAGCTTACACTTCTTCTCCAAAATGAAGTATTTTTGGGAAGGAATTAAAGTCAAAAGATGGACACAGTAGTACGACTGCTACCATCAACAGCGGGAACTCACCAGCTACAATGCTGGAGAGCACTTAAAATGATTTCCTGGAGTGAAAAACTGCCTCATGCTTTCAGTAGCCACAGAGCTTACAATAATAAAGAATTTCTACCTCTGTAACCTGAGTATCCTGTGAAGACAGTAGCCTGATAATCTCACTTAATCAGAATTCAAATGCCATATGAAAAGCATTTCTAGTGGAGTAAAAGTTACATCTGTTTGGATTTGTAATGTTCAATACACCACAACCAACAACACTTCCTGTGTACTTGGCACTCCTCCTTACGCATCACTGAAAAACACGATAAATACTACAAAATCTGCTGATAAGTACAGATGACGAGGAATGAGGTCAGCTGTTAGAGCCACAGAGCTGCAATTCATTAACAGTTCTGCAAAAGCCATTATGATTTGCTTTTGGTACTGTTTTCAGCTGTCAAGAAGTTCCTGGAATATCAATTAAAGGATAAAGTGTAATGGCATGCCCTTGAGATGTGTTTGCAATTAAAGCCATATTGCTCTAATTCAAACAAGTCCAATTGCCAAAACTCAATTAAGACTTATTTTCTCTGTTGTTTCTAAAGCTTCCAAAAAACAAATTTAAGGAGTAAATTCTAGTGTATTCATATTTGTTGACACAGATTAGCTGGATTAGTCGTTACAGGAGCAAGTAAAGTCAAGCCATCTTGACTTTATCATGCAGTAGAGAGAGTGTCAAATAAATTCATTTCTTACTACCCAGATACTGCAAAATAGTAAGCAGAAACTTACTGTTTGTACCTAAGCATCTTTGAAATTTGAGCAGGCAACTACAGAAATAAAAGGTACAGTTACAAAACAAAATGCAGCCACAAAGTAGAGGGCTCTAAAAATGTCAAATACCACACACCCAAAATAGATTACTCTGGTCAGAAATCCTTTGTTTCATCAGATTAATCAACTGAGAATAAATTCTCATTTGTGACATGTGTGACTTAAACCAGACAACAATAAACAAACTACGACTAGAAAGAAATGGAAAAACGACACATACAGTAGCACTAGAAAAACACATCTCAGTTTAATGCTTCATGTGTCGATACTCAACACGGGCAACGTATATGGAGAAGATCAAGGTTCCTGGCTGCCCATTTCTGGGCCAGGATGTCCGTTGGTCAAGGATAACCTATACAATCTACATTCAACAGTTCACGTCTGTGAACACGTCAGGGCAGGGTAGCATGGTAGTTCTGTGCACATTTTTGGAGGAAAAATAAGTTATTTCCAAATTCGGGCGTTTCTTCACCTAAGACTCTGTACAGTATAATGGAGCTTTCACTTAGACATTGTAATATGTTTTCTGCACTGACAGATTTATTTGAGGAAATTCCTATTTTGTGGAATTCTTGGGCTACAAGCATCACTCCAATTTCAGTCATGAGGGACATTCAGTCCAGGTTGTGTCAATTAATATGTTAATATTTGTTTGTTTTGTTTGGGCCTGATTATTATTCCATCATCAGAACTACGTCAGGAATTAAAAGAACACATACCACAATAACACTCGGACATCCCTAACAATTCAGAGGTGAAATTACTCATCTTTATTATTTGCTTGAATCGGAAGATAGTCAGAATTCTTCTTGTGTAATATGTAACAACTTTCTGCAAAAAATGTCTCCAGTGCAGTGGCCTCTGGGAATACATTTTGTTTTTGTTTTCACTCCTGTATTTTCTGTGTTTATTGTACTATTTACTGGGAAGACATGTCCTTTGAAACTTGACTTTGGCCAATTTTGTTTCTCATTTAAAGACACTAAAACTCTGCTAATTGAGGAACAAGAACAGAATGCATGCATCAAAACCAGCCTGTGCTTAAGAGGGCAACACGTGTTTTTTCCAAAAATCGCAGACACAATAAAGACACAATAACGTTAATTA